ATAGTCTGCTGCCTGTGTCTCTTTTCATGATCGTACAAGATTGCCCAGGCGCTGCGCCGCTCTCGGGATCTGCCATGACTTCCAATGCAAAGAACGCCATATTTTGGGCATTCCTAATTTTGTCGGCACTTTTGAGTTTTGAACAGCTGCTCGAGAGTTATTAAGGTATTCCCGCAGGTAGACATGCTCTAGGGGATGATATGCTCACCAATCCGCGTCATAGCAACCACTGCCATCGCTCCGGTTCGGGTCTGGCACATCAACGCATCGTCTCGCATCGCTTACAATAGCGCCTAAGTGTTGTACTTCATGCAACAGCCAAAAGCCCGCGGACGGACTGAGTCTTCTTGTATCTTTCCAGGCCCGCAGCATGTCTTGCTGAGAGTTGGCCTGGAAGAACCTCTCACATAAGACAATTGAGTGGCCCGAGAGTCCACCAGCTCCATGTTGGTGAGCTGCAGCGGCCATGCCACCAGCGCACATATCACTATTTCCGGAAGCGCACATATAGGTTAACCCTGTAGGACTAAGATTGTCCATTCGCAGATCATCAACTCGGGTTCGTGATCCTGGTGTCTTCAAGTAGTCCTGCACAGGATCGTAGTTAAGTTGTTTTATCGTAGCCCTCGTACGGGCATTAGAATTATCCTCTTCATGTTTTGTTAGTCCTTGGTTTTGAATCGACTGCAATGGCCACATACCGCCGATCCAGAAGATGTATGCATCGGAAAACTCAGAATCCTTCTCTGCAAGTACGTTAGAGGCCATAAAGGCTAATGCTTGCGTATCGCTTATAATCCCTTCTAGGGCTCTAATGTTGTTTTCGCTGCAGCCCCATTCACTGCCCGCTTGTTGGTCAATGACATAAAAACCGTCAAGAGCTCGTTTTTTGAATGAATAGAATGTTGGTTCTAAAGATCGGATGTCATGAGAAGAAAGGTCATGACTTAGGGCACCCTGGCCTAAGGAGAGGACCAGTGGTGATGCTGAAATCAAATGACTGAATGATCGTAACATTGCGAAGAGCGAAGGAAAGTATATAACGAAGGTGTGTATGAAAAACGCAAAAAATGGTTATTGAACATGTTTAGTATGTGGTATTTGTATCTGCCATAAATTTTACCCACTGAGCGTGACTGACTTCTGTCTGTTACTCTTCCGGCGAAGCTGCAGTGATAGATTGGCAGATTCAATCTGTACAGCAACAATCCCGGTCTCCAGAAAATGTTTAGGAACCGAAGATCAAAATAAAGCTATCATATCCACAGACTATTGTTAGAATACTGCGCTTGCAGACAAATATAAGCTCCCCCTAGTTGAGTAAATGTGGCTTAATCTGCCACCAGTCTGCTCAAACACAAATACTCCCTGAACCTAGCGAACTCTGAGTATAACCTGACCACTGAGCGTCATAAGCCTTAGCGGGAGTAATGGGATGTATCCTTTCACAACCTGACAAGGATTCACTTCTTCCCCTACCACCATAGTAGGGCCGCTACTACAGTTAGTGTACACCCGGGCAGCGCATAAAGTGTAATTACCTTTATCATGGGGAATTTTTCAACAACCTCGGTTGCTGATGATGACAGGGGCCTCCGTGCGCCTAAGCAAACTCGTCAAGTCGCTATTCGTACTGCATTAATGAGGGTTAAGAGGGTCTTGTAATGTCCCATGCTTGCCTAAACTTTTATTGTCGCCATCGCTACAGCCCTTCGAAAACGTAGCTATCCTGGTCTAATCACCGTAGTCGATCGCGCTGATGTCAGTTAGTTTCCGCTATTATCGTGCTTCAAGACAAGACGAGTGCAGTTCAAAATGTCTTGCATCCGCTCCAAGTCTCGATGGATCTCCTTCTTATCACAATCCCCTGATTGACACTCTTGGTGCTGTAATCCGATGTTGGCTAACAGCACACCGACCTTAGCGTATAATACCTTTTGGGAACTTGCTCGACCATACGCACTGCACTGTCCATACATCAAAAGTCGCTGACATCTTCAACCAAATAAGAACGATATCAAAGTTTACAGGCTCTCGTCCATTCGTACTTCATATAGTAGCCTGGTAATTGTCCTTTGTCGACTACTTTCTTTCTTTTCTTTCTTTCTTTCTTCTTTCATTCAGGTATCGATGTATTATTTTATTGATTTGTAGTAACAGCATTCGGCTGTAATGCCGAACTTTGGTGGAACTGCCTAGCAAACTTTAATATAGTGTGTACCTAGATTAAGTTTGGTGCCCATACTGCTGTTCTGACTTGCGAATTTGGCGCAATAGAAGCCACAGCGGGCCACTATGCCACTGGGATTAGAAGTATTGAGTGGGTTGGTGCTGAGCTGCCTTTGGCTTGATTTTGGACCGTTACGAGTCCTCTAGTTATTTTAAAAGTCTAGATCTGCACTCATACCTTTCCCTAGATCAATCTAATGTTTCGCCGCCAAGTCTACAGCCCCAACTCTCAAGATGCATATACGTCTGGTTCAAACTGCCATTACTCATTTGGAAGAATATGATTTAGTGTTTGAAGTCTCAACGCCTCCTAGTAGATCAATGAAGCAAAGTTTGATAACCTACACGCTGGCCAAGGGGAGAGCTTGGATTTTTTGAGGGGGACTCTAAAAGCGATGAAGACGACATGACTACATGCGACCTTTCTTTGAGTTCTCGCCGTAATACTTCTCAAAGTGCTTGAAGTCTCATCACTTGACAGATCTGCATCATGTGGGGAGAGATCAGTGTCGGTAGGTAGCATTAAAAATTTCGAAGAGGTGTCCTTCATGTGCGAGTGTAACATCTGTGACTCCAGTTTTAGAAGATCCAGCTCCGTCAGAATTCATGGACCTCTTCTAGCCATTGTCAAGCTCAAACTGTCACTAGGTACTCGTCTTATGCCCCAGCTCATTTGGGAGTCGCAACACCCACCTAAGTGGGGGCGTAGCACGAGTATGATTGATTGTTAGGGGAATCAATCCTCTAGACCCTTTTCTACAGGTAACTTATGCATATTGTTCACCCCAATTCAGACTCCACCCTCTTTTGTTTTGCAGTGGCCCATCCAGGTCGTTTTCGCTTTCGCAATTAAGCCGAAGCTTGCCTGCTCTACATATATCCGCGATATGCAGTGGGCCAGAGTGGACGAATCATTGACAAAAATGAAACCCATATCTCCTTCATGAAGGAGAAAGAAGTTGCCTCAAGAAATGGCATTCAAAAGGAGCAAGCAGCCTGCCTGGAACTAAAGAACAGCGACGCCGAACCACTGGAACCCACCACTAAATCTGAAATAGAATTGGTGACGACATACATCAGTCGAAACACCAGCTAGGGACTGCCTTCAAAGCCCAGCCCTACCTTAATACAATTGGCCTAGCGGCGCAATGTATTAGCGATCTGCTGAGCCTTCGGATCAGCAAAGTTTTCCCTGTCCGCATTGATAAACTGAGACGATACCCGCATTGCGCCCTGCCAGCTGACTTGGATGCAGGGCCGGAAGTGATTTGCCGTCTTCTGCGGCCCTGACTCGAGGGACATCCCTGCAGTAGTCTCGACTTGCCAGTTAAGGAAAGAAACTGCGAAAAGAATAGGTGACCCAACAGCGGGCATGTGTATGGAGGGGGAACAGCCATCTTCTCGCTAAGCGATGGGCAATGGGATTGTGTGGATTGTAGACGTCAGATCTGTTGATGATGTGCTCCCATGACTGAGCACTAGTCAATGCAACCCCGTCCAAGACATCTGAAATCTACGCATCTGTCCAATCACACCTGCACGTCATTGTAACCTAATTGTTCATTGGTTTTTTGACGTCTACGATCAGGCAGAATGGTCACCTCACTCACCCCTGCGATGACAGCTGGCAGCGGCCCAATACAGACGATATACTCAGTCTACACAAAACACAGCATGAACGGTTTATCTTACAGTTCTCAGCACTCGGCGTGATGGACTTACTAGAAGCGTTCCTCGACGAGCTTGACCCTGAATCCCGGCACAGGAAAGGTCATTGATTATCTCTTGTATTTGTCCGGCAAGTCACGGAGCCCGTCTATGCGTCGGCCTTTTATAAACTTGTCAGCACACTCAACGCAGAGCTGATGAGATACATTTACAAAATCAGTTTTGGCTTTGAGTCATTGTTTTCGAGTGGCTCATTCACCCATCCATAACACGGAATCAAGCAACACCCTTTGAGCGCCACGCTACGGGTGTTTGGTGATGGCAGTCCGGTATCTGTCATCCTCAGCCCAGTGGCTCCGCTTTTCTGACACAATAACTATCGATTCGTCGGAACCAGCGTTGCAATCTTGCTTCCATAAATGCTTCCAGAATGCCATCCATCTTCCCCAGGTTCAAAGTTGAATACTGGGGTCGACCCTACGGCCCGCAAACACGTTTGCGTGATCATCGTTCCATCCTTACCGGGAGATCATCGGCAGCTGCGTCTTAGCAGGGACTCGGATCTTCTCATTGTAACGCTGGCGGAGTGGTCATTCTACAAACGATGAACGTGCCCAAGAGCGTTGAGTGGACGGAGGCCATATCTCAAGTGCGTCCCCCACAGTCCAAGTGGATGTGCGTTTTACATCCTTCAATTTCATCTGCGCTTTCTCTTCTTGTGTCTAGTTCACGTTTGTATGTTACCTGGCCCGTGTTGGTTGTCGTGCTGGAAATTTCTCACTCTTTGCCGCATCATCACGCAACTGCTGGTCTGTTTTTGTTTTTTCCTGCTTTCAATACGACTGGTTCGTCACTCGCGGTCGCGAAATCCTCCGTTCGACTGGCAAATGGCGCCGCCAGAGAATTACGGCCCGACCGTGAACGCGGTAATCTGGTCCCAGGTTGGATTATCAGCCTGCTTCCTAATTCTAAGACTTTATTGCAAGTATAAGAAGCGCAGTGGACTTTGGTGGGACGATCATGTACTCATAGGATCATGGGTACGTTCATAGATTTATCCATTGAATCAACCCAAAATTGGACTGACGATCGTTTAGATCACCATGACGATCTCAGTAGCACTGACCTCGTTCAACATATCTCTCGGCTTTGGCAAGCATGTCTACCAGATCAACCCCGTCAACCTGCCCGCGATCGGACTCAACGGCAACATCATCAGCACAACATCTATAACTGCGGCGGTCTGGAGCAAGACTTCTTTTGCGATGACGCTTTTACGAATCCAGGACAAGGGATGGATGAGGCATTTTATTTGGGCAGCCATCATCTCCATGAACATCCTCATGGGCCTTAACGCCTTAGCTGCTTGGGTTCAATGCACTCCGATCCAAAAGTTTTGGTTACCGCAAACGCCTGGGAATTGCTGGGATACCAGGGTCTCAACGTATTACGGTATCTTTGCTGCAGGTCCATAATCCCGTCCTTCATTCTGGCGGGCTTCTTTCCCTGACGTCTGTCTATAGGTTACTCCGCTTTGATGGATATCACGCTTGCGATGCTGCCTTGGAAGATGATTTGGGGACTTCAAATGAAACTTCAAGAGAAGGTTGGTGTAGGCATCGCCATGAGTATGGGTCTATTGTAAGTGCGGTTTCATTTGGGCTGCGAAACAGAAACTTGCTAACATATTCCTCTAGTGCTGGAGCAACCGCCATCGTTAAATGCACAACTTTGCCAACTCTAGCCTCAGGAGACTTTACATGTGTGTGGCTATGACCGTCTCGTCCTTGTGTTGAAAATACTGACACGTTCATGCAGACTTTGGCAGTGAACTAGCCATCTGGGGAACATGCGAGACGGGCGTCACGATTGTGGCAGCTTCCATCCCCGTCCTTCGCGTTCTCATCCGCGATGTCGCCACCAGTGCTAGAAAGTACTATGGTTCTTCCGGAACTCGTACTAACAAATCCCGGTTTAGCCCTGGAAGCAGCTTGCCGCGAAGTAACACGGTGACGGTGACCTCCGCCCCGCAAAAGGGCTCGATCCGGAGAAAGTGGGATAGACTGGCTGACGATCAAAGCGATAAGAGCATACTGGGAGCCGAACCGGAACTGGAGTTCGGCAAGATCGTCAGGACGAATGAAATAGTGGTGGAATATGATACGAGGAGTGAGACTGAAGGAAGAAATGGGGCTTACGAGATGCATCAGATGGGTCGTGTGAACCCGGACAATATGGTATAATGAAATGAAAATACTGAAGGTCAATTTCTTCGATGAACCGGAAAGCTATACTGATCTTCACTTGAGATGTGTTCGTGCAAACTATGTCATCTCTACCAACATTGTGCCAGTACAAGATTCTATGATACCGCTGTAATTATGGACCAAGGAGGGCAGCAAACCTTTTTATGCCGTAAAGTGCCGGTGAGCATCATTACTAGTATGGAACAGTACCAACCAAAAATAAATTGGATGAAGCTCTCTTGAATAACACATCATGAAATTTCAATTCTTGAGGATTAGACCGGTTCACTTACAAACCTACTTGGATATCCGACCACTTGGACTTGAAGGGCTATGTCGTCTATCGAGAGAGTTTCTCGAAGGTGGTACTTCTAGAAGATGACGTCGCACGTGCCCAAGAGAGGCTCCGATAGTATAGATCTTTCGCTCGGTACAATTAGTCGAGTTGTAAAGTCCTTGCACAGCTTTGTCACGATCAGCAACTGAAATGAGTGCGTGGTTGATCCCCGGGCGCAGCTGTTTGACGGCTGCCGAGTAAATGTTCTCGGAAGTTTCATTCTACTTTCACAGTCAACAACTGAGCCTTTATGGATTGTGCGGACGGCAAGAAATACATCCGTGGCAGCATGCATCTCCATGAAATTGATTTTTGACCACTCAAAAGATAGCAAGTTCACCTAGCACCAGTCAAATATTGTGGAACCACCCATCGGCAACGAGTTGTTTGTGGTTGTCTTCTCTAAGCCCTTGGCAAGTATGAAAAGAATATCGAAAAGGCTGTCGTCAGAGAATTGAAACACTAGACGTTACGGGCGGAGAAGAAAGTCTCCGGCACGTTTATCGGGAACACGGTTCCGATGATCTGCGAAACCTTGCGCTTAAACGACGTGGCCCAAAGACTATGTGTTGGAACATTTATGAAGAGCAGCGATGTTTCGAATGTGATAAATGCCCAATTTCAACCGGGAGATTGATCGAGGACTTGTCTCTTGCAGCTTACCGTGGGCTTCTTGAGATCCTGAACAGGTTGTCATAAAAGACCTGCATCTTAGCTGCAATCATGTTCCTGAACAAACGGTAGTTATGGGCCTTCAGGATCTGGACTTTCACGTAGTCTTAGTCCCTATCCAAGGTGTAAGCTCGAAGGGCTTAGCAATGCTCGCGCCGAACGGTGCAAATGCTCATCATGAACGGCGACTTAGTATCCGTTCAGGATAGATAAATGATCGAATAGTTACCTACGTTCTGCTATTCCTGTTAATACCTAAAAACATTTGAGGATTGAAGAAATGGTGTATGGATATATCTTAAGGATGTAACGTTCTCTCAGGACACATTGAGGAAGAGGCAATGACTAAGAAGCAAAGGATTAAGCTTTTGTCTCGGCAGACTCATTTTATTTGAGGTTTGGTCGCTACGTAATATGGTTTGTCAAGTTTGCCACTCGAAATGAAGTAGCAAAGAACCGTTGGGAAGGGAGGAGTGAGTTGAGAGTATTGGACTGGAAAGGTTCCTTACTTCGAATTGTTGCCTTCTGGTGAAAGCCACATACCCAACGAAGTCAAAGTGGAAGGATGGATAAAGACAAAAGAGTCAGAAAACACAGCAGTGATAGACCAGTAGGCTGGAGGGAAGTGGCCGATAAATAGATGTTCATGTCTAATCACCTGAAGCAGCTGCTCACCTGGCTGGCTGCTTTACCACCTTCTTCCGCTAGTTCCTCTGTTCTGTTGCACGGTGGCTGATGTAAACTTAGATGCTCGAATATCCGGGACGTCTTGACATCGTTGGTGGTTTCCTTAGTGGGCCTCGTCAATTCTGTTCCTTCATCTCTTTTGAGTCTGTTGGAACATCACTTAAAGCACGGAGACCGGGGCCTAGCTGCTGCGAGAGCAGCCTCAGTCTTACTTGTGAGTCGGATAGGACCTGATTCCCATGTTATTGTGTCCATTTATTACGTCTCTTTACGAAAATACTTGGCAACATCTGTCGGGTTAAGATGTTCGGCCTGAGCCAGTGTGAGACCGGTTCCGCTGCAGATTGCTTGTCCCCCTTTCGCGTTTCGAATACTAGTCTCTACCCACATACTGATACTTTCCTTGCCACTTCCATCATCGTTGAACAAAACTCTCTCTTCCCTTCAATTATATCTAGTAGAAGTTAAAGGGAGACATATTTGTGCTAGGCAGGCGTTCTACATCACAGATGAACCGGGGAGGCCCGGGCGATGACCTCTAGGGTCGACCAGAAAGCAAAGACTTGACCGAAACTACGAACGTAATACTTCTACTTTTAGTTACTTAACATTCCATATTTATCCTTTATTTTGCCCGCAATAGTCCTCGCAACTTGCATCATAGTACCAGCCTGCATTAGCTCAAGGGCACTGATTTGCAGCCCAAAAGCCGAGCGGAACCATCGTCGCAGCTCTACGGCCATCAGCGAATCAATGCCCATTTGCGACAGGGTTGACGTATTTGGGTCCACAGGCGTATCGGCTGGTTTTAGCGTCATATCGAGAATCTTGAGCGCGATGTGCCGCGCAAGAAAGCTAAGTTCTGAATCGTCTTCCAACACAGAAATGTCTCTTGAAACGCGGGCGAGAAAGTTCTTCAGGGCCTGGTTGGCGCCAGCGATATCCCCTTCTGTGTTGCATTGACCTCCTTTTGGTTTTCTATTGTGGTAGAAGCCCATGCGACGGTTAAATCGCCAGTTTGTGCGGGCCGCCTCGTCGTTCAAGTCAACCGTCGAGCGCAGGCCCATGACGATCTGGGACTTGTTTGCCCAAGGCTCAGGTGGATTCGCTGTTGTCTTGAGGCTGTCTTCTTCAACATGAATACGAGAGTGCAGGAGCGAAAGCTCCACAGCGTCAAGAAAATCACTTTCTGTTTCGAAACCCATGTCTTGAAACTTAATAGAGCGTCGAGCGTGAGGGTTCTCTGCCACGTATCCGATGCCATCAATGGGACTGATGTTTAGAACGCTGGCAGGCAAGCCCATGGACCTTCGATACTGCCCAAAGGCTTCTAAAAAGGTGTTTGCAGCGCCATAGTTGCCTTGCCCTGTCTGATCAATGACACTTACGAGAGAGGAAGCCATCCAGAAAAAGTCAAGGGGTTGATTCAGCAGTTCGTTGTGGAGATTGTATGTTCCCTGAACTTTGGGCTTGATGACAGTACGCCAGTCGGACCACGACATTTCGGTTAAGGAAGCATCCTGGAACTCTTAGAATGGTTTCTTCTTGGGCGGAGAGGAGAGGGGATCACACACCTTTAGAACCATAGCGAGCTGAAATACACCTCGAACAGGAGTTTTGGCCATCTTGATGGCTTTTCTCACATCCTCCACGTTGTCGACATGCCCAGCAACTGTGACAGCATGACAACCCATCGAAGCCAGATCCTTAACTATCTCTTGACTGTCATTGGTCATGCCAGCGCTGCGTGATAGGAAAAGCAGATAACACGCTCCGCGCTCTGCTAGCCATGTTGCTAGAGACCGGCCCAGGCCACCCAAGCCACCAACGAGGAGATACGTGGCATCTGGTCTGAATGTGACTGGACGATACGTAGGAGCCGCTGCAAACTTCATATCTTCTGGTTCAAGCCGGATGAGGAGTTTGCCAATATGAGTACCCTTTTGAAACTGTAAGAAAGCCCGGTGCATTTCCAGAGGCGAAAACACCTGTCTCGGGGCCAGGGGCGTAAGCTTTCGCTTCTCGAAGAGAGGGATAAGCCTTTCCAGAATACGTCCGATGATTTCAGGCCTCTCTCGTACGATGTGGGCCATATTGATACAGACATACGATCGGTTTTGCATGAAGGGTTGCATATTTAGTCTGCTGGCCCCGGCAATATCTCTTTTGCCCAGCTCAATCAGCATTCCAAACGGGGCTACGCACTCCCACGACGCATGCAGGAGGTCTCCAGAAAGAGAGTTCAGCACTAAATCAACGCCTCTGCCCCCCGTCTCGCGCATGATACCTTCTAGAAAGGAGGGACTGCGCGAGTCAAATATGTGATTTCGTGGAACGCCCCAGATGCGAACCAGGTGGTCGACCTTTTCGGGGGAACTGACAGTTGCGAAGATTTCGGCGCCAATCAACTTGCATAGTTGTACCGTTGCAAGTCCGACACCACCACATGCAGAATGAATCAATACCTTCTGACCTCTCTCGATAGAAGCAAGGTCGCAGATTGCCCTCCAGGCCGTACTAAAGCAGGCTGGAACACTCGCGGCTACCTCGAAGCTCATACTCGTAGGGACTTTGGCAACCTGTAGTGCAGGAATGACAACTCGCGAGGTGAGACAACCGCCAGCATTGAGGGCCATAACCTTGTCTCCCACTGCCAGCCCTGTGATACCCTGGCCGGTCCTCGTGACCACACCAGCACATTCCGCTCCGAAGCCAGATATGGATGGGCACTCGTCGGGTAGTGATAGTAGTCCGTTGGCGAGCACTACGTCACGAAAATTGAGTCCGACATAATGCGGCTCAACCTCGACGTCGTTGTCACCCAGTACTTTGGATACAGGTTCTTCTACCCATCTCAGTGTCTCCAGGCGGCCCGGCTGATCCATGTCCAAACGCTTCTGTGTCTGTACTTTTTCTTGGGAACCCCATGGATCAGTGTAACCGGCGGCAGAGGAGTCGTTGGTCACCCCAGTGAGTTCATCGTTCAGCGAGAACGGATGATACCGACCAGTGCATATAACCCCGTCAACAACAGCAAACTCCTTGTCAGCGTGAAGCTTTTCGTCTTCTTTCTCGGCATCTCGCCGTATTCTTTGGAACACTTTCATGACAATATCCGAGAAGCTGACTTGTGAAGGGTCCATTTCAAGTGTACAGACGTTCAAACCCAATTCAGCCCGAACGGTCTTTGCTGCGCCGATCCCTTGAGCAGACCGTGGGTCTCGACATCCTATTTGTACTGGTCGTGCGAGCCAGAGAAGACTCTGCTGTTGGTTGATGCTCTTTATCAAGTGTTTGTATTGGCTGAACAAGTGCTCTGTCAAGTTTTCGAAGAATTCCGCTTCTATATCCCATAGACAGATTATGTCTGCGTCGCTCCGGAGCTTTCCAACGTCGTTGTTGCCAGCGACGACTACCTCCCACCCACTCTCTCGCATGTGATTGGCCAAGTTGTGTGAAAGTGGCGCGTCTGGCATCTCTGACAAGATTGTTACCGAGTCGCTAGTTGTGACACCATTCGGTGTGGCGCCAAGCTTCCGAGAAACGATAGCAGCACTAAAATGGAACGGTTGTTCATCATCGTAAATAGCTGTATCCACGCCAGTATAGCCAGATTTCTTGAGTTCCTGATCCCATCGAGAAACGGGAACATATGGCTCCCATTCCCGACCGTCTTTCTCGCCAAGCCACCAACCTGGAAGGGTGCCAAAGATATACCCGGCACAACGCTTCAGGCAGCAAAGCTCCGTGATAACGATAAATCCGCCAGGCCTCAGCAACTTCCGAAGGTTTACCAGAGTCTTGGTCAGAGATGGTGTAGCATGAAGGACATTGGCTGCAAAGATGATGTCGTATGACCCATATTCGAAACCCTGAGATAGAGCATCTCGAGAGGCATCCAAAACTTTGTATTCCATGTTCGGCGCATAAGAAAAACGCTCCTTTGCTTGGACAAAAAAGCCGGCCGAGATGTCAGTGAAGGTGTAAGTTGAGTATGCGGGCAGGCTGGCCGAACTCTGCCCGCTTTTGAGGAGGGACTGAATTACGAGTTCAGTAGTTGCTCCGGTGCCAGCGCCAACTTCAAGAATTCGAAGTGTTGGCCTCCAATGTGAGATGACTTTGACAAATGCTCCATAGTCAAAGCTGAGGTGATTGTACAACTTGGCCAGCTCGTTGTCCCGCATCAGTATATCAAGCACCTGTTCCCTTCCAGTGAAAATATCCTCAATGTTATCATGGATTCTCTTGACAGCAATGGGCAATGATGTTCTTTCTGTCTTTAAAAGACAAGAGTAGACATGGTCGATTAGAGCCTTTCTTTCGGCCGAAGGCATGCCCGCCAAAGCTGCAGCGTTTTTGACAAATGGATGCTCACCCTGCTTGGCCGCCACGATGTCTCGAACAAGCCACGCTCTGTACTTCTCCATGAAGCCGACTTTTGGTTCCAAGAGTGGGATTCGATCGGCAGACTCGAGGATGCATAAAAGAGTCAGCTCTTCGAGCATCAAAACCTCCGTCGTTTCGTAGTTCCTCGGTGGCTTGATCAACGAACCAACATCGAAACATTCAGCATCGGGTAACCACTCAAGTCTGGCGGCTGCGTGCCGGTCTAGTTGATCGCCATCCGGTCCTTCTGACAAAAATGTTCCGTCGCCAACCTGTGAGAACTGAGCGCCTCCGATGTAGAATACGACAGAATCTCCCGCCACGCATTCCACGGACGCATCAGTCTCCGAACCTGTAGACGCAACGCGTGGAGACCCGGTGCCGGCATTGACAGGGAAGTTTCTCACGTCTAATTCCCGAATCTTCGTCGGCATGAGAATTCTGTTAAGATTACGGCCTAAACCCTTTGCCAGTGACACGAAGACAAGTTGAAAGCAAGCATCCATGAGTACAGGGTGCTGCACAAAGTGTCTACATGACTCGTATTTTTTGGTCAAGAGTTCCCCAGATGCCTCGCATTCAGTGGTTGCGGATCGCATGCTCTTAAGTAATCGGAACTCAGGGCCGTATGTAATGCCTGTCCTTGAAAGAGCATCGTAGAATCGTGATTCGTTGACCTTTCTCGGCAAGTTGACGAGTCCTTGTCGATGAACAACCTTGCTTAGTCTTTTTGTCTCATTGCAAGACCTTACTCGACCTTCACAATGTAGTGTCCAGCTGGATCCATTGTGAGAGCAGATGCTGAAGGTAAACCACTCGGAACTGTGGTCAATGTCACTTGTCTTATGTCGCCGCAAGCTCGTCAAAATTTCGACGGCTCTCGCTTCTGGAAGCACTAACGCCGTGCGTACCATGAGGTCTTTGATTGTGTACCCGTTGTTAACCCCCGTCAGCTGTCTAATGGCTTCCCCCGCCATGGCGGCATAGCCCACCAAAGGGAAGACAATATCATGCTGAATTCTGTGGTCAGAAAGCCAGGGCTCGTTCTCAACATGAAGCATATTTCTCCAAGCCGGTTCCAAATCAGACGACTCCACGAGACGGCTTCCAAGGAGGCAGTGTTGTGGGTGTTTCCTGAATCGCCACTCCCTGGACAGGCGGGTTTCATACCAATGTGATCCTGTGTGATCCCAGGCATAGGGGGGGAGTCCAGCAACGATTGCTCCCACAGGAAAGATAGACGAGTAGTTAAGGTTGACACCCCGAAGGAACAGCTCCCCAATAGCCGAAAGGAGTGACATACTCGAGTCCCTGCTTCTCATGAGCGAGGGAACGAAGTTGCATCGTTGGCTTGCAGCGGCACAGTTTTGCCGCAGTGGTCCTGCAAGAGCAGCATGCGGCCCAATCTCCACGAACAAGCATTGTTCGAGGTCGGGGTCCTTAAGTAGACTGGCGACGGCCGTTGCGAAGCAGACGGTCGATACGAGGTTCTTTGCCCAGTATGCCGGAGTCTGGAGGGCGGAGGCCTCACACTTTTCTCCTGAAACGGTTGAGATGAACTGTATATCCGTGCTTGTTACCACAGAGGTTGCTGGACTCCAGTAGCGTTTTCTCATTTCCTGCTGGACAATCTGGAGATACTCCCGGCTTGGCGCCAACATGTGATGGGAATGGTATGCCACCTCAACTCGCAGGTAACGACAGTCCGTATCGGGGAAGTCCCTTTTGATGAGACTAATGACCTCGTTGACCACTTCCTTGTCTCCTGAGATGGTAGTGCTGGCGGGACTATTCTCGCAGGCTACAACCGCGCCTGGTCGCAGGTATTGGGATAACTGCCGTGATCCAAGGTTGATCACAGCCATAGACCCAGCCACCGAAGCGAAGACAGCCGCATTGGCGGCACTCAGACCGCGATAATATGCCAACACAACTGCTGCCTCAAGTGATAACTTGTTGGAAGCATAGGCAGCCGCGATTTCTCCTGATGAGTGTCCGATAACTGAGTGAGGCTTAACTCCAGCTTCTGCAAAACGGTGGAACAAAGCAATCTGTAGGATGGTGCATAACGGTTGTGACAAAAGGGCGTTTCCAACCCGACTGAACTCTGGCGGTTTCTGCAACTCATCTGGAAGTTGCTATTAGATGATGCATACGGAAAAAGAAGACTTGTGTCACTTACCAATAATGTGCCACTTGGGGGCATGTTGCAGGCTCTGCAAGATACGATCCATCCGCTCCAGGTCGGCTCGAAATCGAGAGTCATGTTGGATTAGTTCAGCGCCCATTCGAGGCCATTGCGCTCCCTGGCCTGTGAAGACCATGGTCACTCTTGGACAATCCGAAGGTGCTTTGGCGTTACTAGGGCCCTCTATCAGCATCTTTCCTGTGTGGTCCACGACTCGAAAGGTTCGGAAAAGCATTTTAAGCCTCGCTCGACCAAGCGTATAAGCTATATCAGCAGCCTGGATCTCGTTTCTCTCGACAAAACTGTTGTATTGTTCTTTGTTTTTTTTTAGTGATAACTGTGTATTCGCCGAATAGAGGAGAAGTTGCGGCCCGCGCGACTTGTTAGGCTTCTGTAGCCGGTTTGTTGCTTCCAGAATGACATGAGCATTAGCACCACCGACACCGAAAGAGTTCACCGAGACCCGCTTAGTTCGGTCACTCGGAAACGGTGTCAGCTGGCTGGGTACCCTCAAGCCAAATTCAGTAAAGGGAATGTTTGGATTTGGTTCGGTGAACTTGATGTTGGGCGGTATGAGCCCCTTCTCCAGGGCCATGACGGCCTTGATAACGCTCACGAGTCCTGATGCAGCTTCAGTGTGTCCGACATTGGGTTTAACGGAGCCTATAAGAATTCCTTTTTTGTTGCCTTTTCCGAACACTTTCCCCACAGCGGTGGCTTCGATGGGATCACCCACAGGTGTTCCAGTGCCGTGAAGCTATGATGTGAAGATGTGTCAGGTCGTGGTGCGAGCTTTAGGTTCGAGTGTATCATCATTGATGTCTGAGCAAATTTAAGCTTACCTCAACGAAGTCAGTGTCGTGCGGATCAAGCCCGGCATCCATGTAAGTCTGCCGCATCAAGGCCTCTTGAACCTCGCCATTCGGCTGCATAAGTGCTGCGGCAGCGCCAACATTGCGACCGTCAGTGTTGGTACCAGTCGCCTTGATCACAGCCCTGATTGGGTTGCCGTCTCTCACTGCATCGTCTAGTCGCTTGATGTATAGTACAGCAATGCCGTCTGCGCGAGCAAAGCCATCTGCTTTGGCGTCAAATGTGTTACAGGAGCCCGTCGGCGAAATTATGCCGTCAGATGTCATGAGTACAGTTGTGGTGGGATCTAGGAGTAGACTTGTGCCACCTACAACAGCGCCACTGGTGCTGCCGTTGCGGAGGTCGCTGCAAGCCGCATGGAGTGCTATGAGAGACGCGGAGCAACCTGTCTTGATTGCATAGCTATAATATGAACTTATTAGCATATGCTTTGATCAAATCATCAAGCTTATCTATCCTCTTGCGGTGACATGGGGAGAGGGAAAGGCGGATTTGGAATGTAACACCACCAGCAGAGAAACATCAATTTTTGTGGGAAAAGCAGCCAACACCCGGGGTTAAAACTTTCTGAACATTCACACATATCAAAGGAATTGTGGGTACAAAAATGCAATGACCTCCAAGATCCGGTAGAGAAAATAGTCAAGTAAGCTGTCTTATCTGATCAGGATAGCTCACCTTGGTCCCTTGAGATTGAACTGGTATGACACCCTATTAGGTAGCATGAAGTCCGTTGCACCACCCAACACGTTTCCTTGTGTGTGCTGCAGTTCCTTGGCGCTCATCCGCAGCCAGTCTTCGGCAGTGGTGCCAACATAACATCCAATGGGTGCTCCAGAGTATTCAGTCTCACCGGCGTCAGCTAGTGCTTCATAAGTAGTCTCGAGCATCAACCGTTGCTGCGGATCGCACTTGGCGAGTTCGTCCTTGGACATCTGGAACTGAGCAACATCAAGCTTGTCAAGCTCGGCTGTGTCAATAAAATAGCCGTTGAGCGCCTTGATGCTTTGTTTTCCACCAAGTGAATCTGTGAATCCATGGATATTGTATCGGCTAGGGGGCACCGGTTCTTGCAGGTCCTGACCTTGAGACAACACAGACCAAAACTCACCCGGTGTACGAATCCCTCTGGCTAGCCTCAGAGACATGCCACAAATGGCAATGTCTGGCATCTTTTGTCCAGTCATAGCAGCGGAGGTGTGCTTTTCAACCATGAACAAAATGAAATTTTCAAGTAGGGTTGATCAGAACAGTATGTCGTTTAGGAAGACTCTTGAAGAAGTGCATCAGATAGATAAGATATGGCTTTTTCGTTGCTTGTGGCAAGAGTGTTCACAGTAGGGGGCCATTGAAAGTAAGAAACGTAGAACAAACCACCACTTTTCGCACTTGAATAAAGCAATAATCACGAAGGTGTATGTTATATAAAGTAAAGATGTTATGAAAGCGACATTGCAGAGCTCAAGGTAAGCTTTACTTACTATGCGTACAAAGTATCGTAGTTATAGAGGTTGAAGGTAGCCTAAACCTAAGATTTCCTTCTAGGGGCCTTTGATAGGCTTATGAGGGATAAATACATATTTAACAACTGAACGCGGAAATCGGTTTTCTCCCCAAACCTAAAATCTGCAAAGGAAACTTTCCGAAGGCGTAGAATGACCACTTTCATGTTCTTCCGCGTATATACTAGCTTATCGTGACTTTTTGAAATTTTAATTTGCAGTTTATCATGTTTATTTAAGTGCTAATAGTAGGGAATTTGTCGGAAGTTTGGTCGTAGGAAAAAAGTTTAGTGTGTCAGTGTTTCCTCCAATGTGACTCGTGAGGATACGGATACGGATCGAAAACGATGGTAGTTGGCTCTTCCCAGTGACTCTGGAAGTTTACCTAACCCCCGGTTTGGTGTACGCTTGAAACATTCCTTTTCCGAAGTGCCGAAAGCTACAATATCAGTGAGCATGACGAGTCCTATTCATAATGTATTCCTGATCAAACGTTGGGTTGCGGGGAGGAGAAGCTAATAAGCATGACTAGTTATGGTTTGTAAAGGCAAGAAGTTAATCAGCATAAACCTACCACGAGCATACTGTTTTCTAACTAGGGTGACTTGTCTAGCCCAACTCAATCCTCAATAGTCAGACATGGTCGAAAGTATATAAGCTTTCGTTAGTAACTACAAGTGAAACTTGACGGTGTGACAGCACGTCTGCTGGGCATGACTGGATATTTTCCCTGGATCAATTGGTCTTTTACCTTTCCAAAAAAGAAAATACGAAAGCATCACTCCACCAAAAGAAAAAGAGACGTTCATCACCTATCGAGTGACGAACTTGAAAAAATAGATGCCCCTTTCTCCCTATCCCCCTTGTTCAAGCAATCAAGCAATTCCTTTTTTTTGACAAGAGCACAACACTACTAGTATCCTACATATCAGGACTTAACTCATTTTTGCGCACATCATACCCAGGGCCTGAAGTCTTCCAGAGTTGTGTCACAATCGTCAAGTAACAAAATACATCATGGAGGCTAAGTTGGATGGAGTGGACATGAGCGACCTGTATACGTGCTGTCTCCCTGAAAATGTCCCAACTGCTGAAATAGAGCATATTTCAATCAAGGGCCTGCTCGAAGGGGTCGAAGAGGAAACCCAGCGTCTTTTCCGAGCCTGTCACACTCAAGGAGTTTTTCTACTTGATCTTACAGATCATCCCAAGGGCAAGCGGTTCTTGCGTGAAATGGCCGACACCGTTCGAATTGCCCAGCATGTATTTCAGTCAAAGACTCTGGAGGAAAAGCGAACCTATCCAACTCGACCTCGAGTTGGCATCATGGATAAAGGGTGAGTAATAGAGATAGTTGCGACGCGTGTCAACCATTTCTTGCTGATGGCAGACAGCTACATAGCCGAGGAAATCACACCTGCCGGCGAGGTCAAGTCCCATGAAGTCCTCAACGTGGGTTAAACACCATCATCAAATCTATTGCTCTAAAACTGATTAAACCAGGTACCCAACTTTGAGCTCTTCAGTCCCGGGGCTCCTCCCCTTGAGCTACCGTCGTGGCTCGCAACTCATGAAAACACTTTCCGCAGTGTGGCAATTTCTGGTAACGAGATTGCAAATACCATTCTAGCCTCTTTGGAGAAGGCTCTGCATATGTCTCCAGAGACTTTGACCTCGGCACACCGCCTAGAAGATCCGTCCAATGACTTCCTACGTTTGGTACGGCATCCTGGATTCGGCGCACGCGAGGACGGGGAGCGAATTTCGTTCCACGCGCACAAAGACCTTTCCTCCTTGGGTCTCCTACTCGCCCCCTTACCAGGCTTGCAGGTCGAGCATCCAGACGAGCCAGGAGTGTTCAAATGGGTCAAGCCTGTGCCGGGAACAATTGTCGTCAATGTTGGTGAGGGCCTACAGCTGCTTACAAACAGCGTCCTGAAGGGCGTCCTTCACCGCGTCGTAAGAATACCGGGTGATCTTACGGCTGTGGACCGCGTTAGCGCCCTCGTGGTTGTGCGGGCAAAGGGGGACATGCCCATGCTGCCTCTACCTAGTCCTCTCGTTCCATGTCTGAACGAGGAGCAAACAAAGAAACAGATCGAGACCAGCGATGAATGGGCTGCCAACAAACTCAGGGCCTTGACTGCTATCAGGGCCAAGGAGGGGAAAATGCTACCGAGAGAGCTTGCATTTGTCTACAAAGAAGCCGGAATGCCTGTACCTATTGGAGTTTGATATAGTTCAACAACTTTTGTAAGTAACGTAGCTTAGTCTGACGTACCTTGAATCTATGTGCAATCACAAACCACCTTTTCTTGATAGCTAGGTCGGATGTAGTTATGGCTTCCCAGCTTAGGTATCTCTTCTCGTGAAGCGCCATAATGCGACATCATTCATCATCCTCTTTGTTCACAATCGTGCCTATCTTCTTTCAGACATACAGCCTATAACAGGTACCATGACTCGTGAGCTCTTTTATTTTCTTCCTTGCAAGCTCCTCGCGTTTTCATGGTTGCTCCAGACCCTAGCGAGACAGTTGACAGGGGGATTGCAGTTTACCAGCCCCGCAGGTAGCAAGCAATCTTTTTCTAGACTGACGAAACCCAACCTTTGCACATGAGTACAAGAGTGAACTTAGTCCAAACTCAAGTCTACGCCTAGAAAAAACAAGGTAGTAACGCATGAATCGTATGTGTTTAGTAATCGGCAGATGTTCAACGCGACTTCATTGAGCAATAATACCGTATGTTTCTTGCTTTGGCTGTGCATGGCGCCTAAAATTTAGGTCCTGATCGACAGCGCCAGTAGGATTCGAATTCCAGTTAAGATGACTGGAATTATGAGCCTTTTGATTAGCTAATTGCTGTGAGGCGGAAGGCTGAGGGCTGCCAGTCGAAGTCTAAGTGCTGGCATATATCTATGCTGCCGAAGATTCACCGAACTCCAGTCAACAGTCTAGTATCATTGTGGGGTCTGGCCGGGATCCTATAACGATGCTGGAGTTGGACTTGACTTTTGTATAGGAAAATAAGCTTCTAGTAAAGACATCGGTTAAAATTACCCTTTTAGAACAGCAAAATGGCAATGACTAAGGAGGTACAAAGCAAATGTTAGATAACATAAGAGTTCTGCGAGTTTAAACTGTATCCATGATGTATCTGCCTAGATTCAGCCTAGTGTAACACGAACAAAGTTTTTTGGTACTTGTGACTGGTGTTAACTGGAATCCAACATCGAAAACGACCCTTACTGGAGTTGTCGATCAGGCCCTTAGTGCAATAAGCAATCTCAAAGTCTTGCTTACTATCGGTATTGCGCCGTGTTGCTAATATCAGTTATCAAATCTATGGGTTCGATAACTGAAAAGAAAGTCCTGGAAACCTAGTTCAACATAGCCGAAGCTTTCGACCCATTTAGGTTTGGAATGTAAAACAGCAGCTCATGATAGCTTATGTTAGAGGTCCCCGCCCTTGTCTAGACTGCTAAGAATGAATACTTCGCTTTTCGTGATTTCCACTATGGGTAATATTTCTGGTCAGCTATAGTTGGGCCCTTTAGTGATGATTGCGCGTAAACGGGGTAATATGAACTTTCATCCTCGGCGTTGAAGCTTAGCTGCCAGACTCCAAAAACATTCTTCTCCTCTTAACCTCGAGCTACCGATCTTAAGCCACAACGCCGCACGTCTTCGCTCTATACCACACAGGAATAGGAAGATGGCGACAACGACTTCCATCACAAATACCTACCGCATGGGCTACTCCGATGCCATCATAAAGTTCATGGATGCCCGCGGCGCGGACACAGAGGCCTTTCCCCTCATGCCTCATCTTCAGCCGACAGACAGGATACTTGACCTGGGGTGCGGACCAGGCAGCATCACAGTTGGTCTCGCTCCCAAAGTTGCCTCCGTGGTAGCTCTGGATGTATCCGGCGTCAGCATCGACATGACACGCAGACGCGTAGAGCAAATGAGAGAAGCCGGGTCTTTGACCGCCCCAGACGCCGCAAAGATTACCTGTCTTCAGGCAGACGTCCTCGCGGGGCTTCCTTTCGAGTCACACACATTTGACGTCATCTACGCCAGCCAGGTCTTTGTTCACCTCACGGGACCAGGACAGGCTGCTCGCGCAATGGCTGAAGTGCGAAGAGTCCTCAAAAGTGGTGGCATATTGGCCACGCGTGATGCTGCAGAGTCATTCTACTATCCGCGGCATTCAAACCTGTGGGATATATGGGGTAGCAAGATGAATAGAGCACTTCTGGGGCACGACGCCAAGTTCGTAGCAGACGGTAAGCCTGGGGGGCCGGATATGATGCCCCGGCTGTATCGAGAGTCTGGTTTCGAGCCACAAAAGATCAAAGTTACGTCTGGGCTGCCTTGGGTGTTTTCTGGGAGGACAGGTCGGGAGTGGTGTGTCAATAACTGGACTGAAAAGATGGATGACCCGTCACTTCTTGATAAGTGGGTTGCTGCTGGAGTGACTGATGAGCACAAGAAAGTTGCCAAAAAGGCATTGGCAGACTGGCTAGACAACGAGGATGCATATATGATGGTTACACACTGCGATATACTTGGGTGGAAATGAAACTTCACACGATTTATCACTCAATGATTTGTAGAACGAAACTGGTAACTTGCCAATGTACATGCCTGCCGGATTGATCCGACTTACTCCAATCAGCCATCGGGTACCTTGATTCTGACGGAGAAGCAAAGAAAAAGTTATGAGATACGCAGCTGCATAAGTTTAGGAATGATACAAACTAAGTGGTAAGCAGAGGGATCTCAAAACATCGAGGATTAGCATTACGACACAAGCAACACGTTCCCCCGGTTCGGGCCACCTGAAGAGCGGCGGGTATTCCGATTGCAATAATTAACTTATTGGCAAGTCGTTCCGATGGCAAGTCGTTCCGTCTTGGTCCAATACAAATAACGGTAGGTGGTGAGGTAGCAAGAGCATCGTTGGAAGATACTAGTTAACATACTCAGATGCTAACAAGGACGCACTGCAACTATACGTCATATGTTGGACCAAGTTAATCTTCTCTGGATGATTTGTCGCTCGAATGACTTCACAGATCAGAAACTATTTATCCCATAGTCAAGAATCAAAGCACAAATTTGGTAAATAGCTCGCACGGTTCGGGTGTAATCGACAAGCAGATAGCAAACACGGTTGGCATAATAGTGATGAATCATGTGTCCTCGAGAACAATTTAGTGGTGAGGATTCTCAGTACGACAGCACAAGACAACTCAGACACTCCAAAATCAATGTCCTCTTTAGGGAGCGCGAAAAGGGAAGGAGAAAAGAAAAACTTCCTAAAATCATAATAAAAAATTAAAAAATTAAAAAAAAAAAAAAAGGGGGGGGGGGGGGGGGGGGTCCAGATTGCACACAAAAGATAAAAAATCCCCCGTTTCGGCCACAGTGACTGAAAGTGCCAACTTAGGAAGAAGTATAGTTTCAAGACTCAATTGCCAACCGGGTCGTGTGTTTTGTCTTCGCAGGGTTGGAAATATTCAAGATAGTGGCATGGCTGTCAACAACGAGCTGTGGGAGAAGAAAGACGCAATCTTGGGTGACTAATATTTGATGTTGTTGACGATAAGATCTCGGTCGTTACCTCGAATCTGCATCTCATTTGCCGACGGCTACTCTGGTCCTCGTTACTCTTGGCAAAGATTTCTTTCCCCTTTGTAGTAATCGATAAGCTGTCTCGAGACCGAAGTGGGTGGTCGGCCCGAGCACCAATGGTCAGAAGCGATATCCTCTCAACTCCTGTCCACAGAGGCCCGAATCCCGGGAAAGGGCATGATAAGCTTATCTCCCATCACCAATTACGTATGTTCATGTTGCTTATCTGCTTACTCACAAACGGGTCCTCGGGTTCAGCGGGGACGGGCGAAGTTTGGTCAAGGTAACATCCGCATTGAATTGATTTCACCTTTGAATTATGCAGCATCGGCGACAACTGCACTTTGATCCGTTGATTATCAAAGTGTATCGCGTTCCATCTATGGCCTGTAGCGTTAGGATCTGTAAGGCAGCTTCCGACGTGGTAGCACGACCCACTTCTACGACATGCCCCGCCCGCCAGTGAGGCCTGAGGACCGGAAGCGATCCGCCAAAGCATGCGTTGCCTGTCGAACCACCAAAAAACGCTGTGATGCTGTTCAACCATGCCGACCATGCGTCAATCGTGGAGTTGGTGCGTCTTGTACGTATTTAGAGCACACTCGAATCCGCCGCGCAGCTCGACAGCCTGTTACTCCGTCTCAACAAACCAATTTGACCAGCCGCGACATTAAAAGAAATGCAAAACTCTCTCCGTTGCTCTATCAGCGGGAACACTCATATCCAGGAGACGGGGATCATGGGACAAGCTCATCGAATTCAAGTAGACTGACCGCGACTTGGGGCCCACGCCCGGTCATGATGTATACCTGTCGGGGAGAAAAAGGTACTGTGCCCTTAGTTAGGGTTTCTGGCCGTGCTGACCAATATTTGGCTGATGTGTTGAGACTTGCAGTCTACGTCGGGAACGCTTCAGCGATTGCATTCCTGCAATATCTACGAGGAAGGTTGCGCATCCTCGGCCCAGACTTCACCATAAGTCAAGGATGCCATCGCATGTTTGAAGCGCAGGTTTCAGTTCAGCAAGATGATGACTTTGTGGATGACATTGATGGTGCAGAAAGAAGAACTCTCGTTCAGCGTTTTCTGGATGCGGTGAGTCTAACTATCTGGCCTCAAGGCATATGAGAGCAATGAGTTTGACGAAATCATAGTCTAGTGGACTCTTAGATCTTTTCGATGAGTCTGGGATAGATCGTCTTTTGTCAGTCGCCGAATCTCCTAGCAGGGGCTTTGACAGAATCAAAATTCAGGATGGAGATGACGGCCGACTGTGTCTCTACATGATGATCGCGATCGGCGCTCAATGTCGCGGGCGACCCGGTGATGCCAACAGGGCTTTTCGTTATTTCGAGGAAGCACGCAAATTATCGTTTGCAGGAATGCTGAGCGACCCTACGCTAGACACAGCTCGAGGTTTTGTTCTCATGGCTTTCTACATGTTCGGAGCATGTCGTCGCAACTCAGCTTTCATGTACCTTGGAGTAGCAACGAAAGCGGCTTCGGTCATGGGATTACACATGGCGGAACAGTTCCAGTCGCTCTCCGAAGATGAGCGCTCTCTAAGGTATTTGATAATCTTGCACTCCGCTGGGATGGGTATTCACGACACCGTACTGAGCACAACCGCAGATCCCGTGTCGACAAGAGTATCCGCCTCTTTGATGTTGTTTGCAGCTCAATCCTTGGTAGGCCAACTAGCATCGCGCCTTGCCGGCCGAAAAACCAAACGAGAACTCAGAGCCGACGACATCGAACGCAATCAGTTGATGTAGCTTGCACCCTGGCTACAACGCTCAATGAAATCATTGACACTCTCACCGAGGAGTCTCAACTAGGAATCAATCAAGCAGAACGCTTCTTAGATAAGATCAAAGAGTGGAGCAAGAACCTTCCACCTGGATTACGCCAACGCCCGCAGAGAAGTTCAAACCATTCCCGATATTTCGAGAACCGACAGATTGCTATTGGGAATATACATGTTGCCTGCACATACTATTTTGGCATTATGCTGACGACGCGCGAGTTTCTGATACAACACATCATGCCTCAACTCGATAACGAACCACCGTTCACGGACAGTCGTCTAGGTTTGGACACGACCTCGGAGAACAAGCAAAAGATAGTTGAATTTTCCGATGCTTGCGTGGATGCTGCAGTATTTATGTCAGATATGTGCTCAGAAGCATTAGACTCTCGTACTATTATGGGCAACATGTGCATACTCAAGTGGGTCTACTGATTCCAATTATCTGCATACCTGCTAAAGCTCACATAGGGCGTGGCTATTTTCTGCTGGCCTCATCCTGAGCTTCTCCTTACTTGCTCCTTACGTGCCACAGCGCCGTGCAAGAGCTTTCCATAACGCATTACGCGTCCTCGACTTTTTGGGTCACTTGAGCCCGCAAGCAGCACAGTACCATCGTCTATTGTCAAGTTTCTCTCAGGCTGTTGATACATTCAAGAGTCATTCACCAGTCGAGCATTCTCAGCCACGTCCTCCCTATGTTGAAAGGCTTCTCTCACTCGACTTGGCCGAGAGCCCGGAAACCACCCGATGGGGCTTTACCACGAGGCAATCTGAGCACGTGAGCTATATGGATAGTGTCGATAACTTTGACCATCGGGAGACTACTGGAGAAACCATGTCTGATCTCCAACTGCCATTCGATACTACAGCACGCGGCGGAGAAGATGTTATCCTTAGCCTCCTTTGGGATGGCGAAACAACTTCGTTTCCGGGAAACGTCGGGTTCTCAAGTTTACCATGAGAGCTCTAGCCGTCTCGGAAGTCTTTCGCTGTAGGCTGCATATGTGGCGATGCAAACCGGAACCTTCATTTGCCTCCAACATAGTATATATCGGGAGAGAGACTCGTTCTCCCCGGTTTTGCTGTTTTTTGTGACTCGGTATCGACTCTCTCCGCCGTTGCAGAGTTCCAACGTCTGGAAAATCGGACGTAACAACAGTTCAGCTGAACATGCACTCAACAGCCGAAAAACATCTGTCTGTAAACCATCCCATTTTCGTGGAGGGGTTTCCTTTTTGTTGCCAGACCGTTACAAGCAATCATACTGTGCCGAAGAGAAGAAGGCTGCGCACTCCCAGAGAGATCCGTTCACGATGAAACGCGCGCAAGGACCTGGAACACCAGCGTCTCAATCTGACGTGAAGGCACACACGTCATCCGAACGCGGACTACAGTTTTAAAAGTAACAACACGATCTCCCATTGGTCATTTAATTTCTGTGTCCCCACTGCTTTTTGGAAAAAACAATGCCGGCGCCAGAGACGAGACGACAAGCACATACCGGTAGATGGCTCTCCCGTCAAGTTGGCTGTTGGCCGTTGGTCACTGCTATCGCCGAGAAGCCTAACTCAGACGCTCTCAAAAGCTGACGAGTTTGCGTTGCACACGAGTCAGAGACGCGGCCTCCCACATCACGTACTATGGTTGATGCGGTGGTTCGTTCCATAATAAAGTGGCCAGCAACGTATGAGCCATTGGCGTGCCAAGCGACCGACAGAAGTTTGATCTTCGTATAAAGGCTTGTCGTGACCGACACTGACGGATGATTGGTACAGCGAAGCTTCTCAAGTCAATTCCGACCCCGACAAGATACAATGAAGAACGTACTGTCCTACCTGTTGATGGCGATCATGTAATTCTTCTCCCCCGGTTGAAGTGCCACAACATAGACCAACCTTAACTGACAGTGCATAGGATGGCACTGGCGCAAGCACAGCAAGGCTACATTCAATGCCGCTGCATGACCCACATTACAAATACCGTCTTCCAGACCGGTGGTCAGCAACTTTGCGGTCAAAAGGGCGGCATCCTCAGTAGGAACAGCCAACTATGCACACATCTGTCGCAGAACTTCACCGATACAGACTGCCGGGCGTTTGGTGACTCTTTCTTCGCAACCTGTGGCACGGCGCGCTCGGCAATGAAGAGAGGAATATATAAGCGCGAGGTCACACCAATTCAGACGAGGCCGAGGGGTCGGCAGATCGATCAAGAACCCTTCAATCTTCAGATCGTGTCCCGACGTCCGATCCCCGATCGGTTCTCACGGAACTGATTTTGGTCGGGGCCATCTAGCTTTCAACAAGCATAGAATTCTTCATAAATGTAATATGATGTTAATCTTCTCGAAGTCAGTCTTCCGTGACTTTCCAATCTCCTCTCCTAGGCGCTTCAACAACAGTTGCGCGACCCACTCAGGATCTTCCAGGATGTAAACTTCTTCGTTGTGCATCTCTACAAGCTTATTCATCCCCATGTTCGCGACGTCTAAGTTCTAATAACTCGGTTTCCACTGTGCGCCCGGCTGCCGACCCCATGCAACCCCGCGACTGATCAGTGTTTCTGTCAAATCCTTCAGGATACCGTCCACGTTTGCTCAGTCATCCCCCGGGATCTTAACGTTGTTGTCTTCAGAAAGCTTGCCGAGCTGCTTGCTTGCCTTCTCGGAAATGCACAACGTGCACCAATCCCGATCGACAAGAGTGGTACCACTCTCCTCGACGCTCTTGCGACCTGCGAAAATGTAGAACGACGCGGCACTGTGCTCTTTCCCTGCTTTGCACTTTTCGTAGAGGCGTGATAGGTCCTTTTCCACGGAACCTTCCTTGTCCGAAGTCCAGTGCATTAGGTGTGGTTTGATATAGTCGTTGTCAGACTCTTCCTGAGATGCTGAGATAGTGTCCAGAAAGGCCTTCTGCTCGTCCTCAGTTGGCATCGTAAGCATGTGAATCAGAACGAATCCAGGAGTTCTGGAGGTAATCCAGACATAACCGGGACCAGATCGTCTTGAAATTATTCGCGGCTAGGAGTCGAAAGTTGCCTCAAAAGCATTTGTAAGCCTGTCTGAGATTGTGAGATAAGTGCGACAATGATAATCATGGATAGTCGAATGAGAAGTCGTATGCTCAGTCAATGGTGTGGCTTCTGTTGTTAGGAACTCAACAAAAACACAGCCATTGAACATTAGCAGAATCAATCAGAATTAAGTAGTGTGCGAGTGCAGTCTGCATATAAAGCGGTCAAGCAAGCCGTGCGGGGCTCGACTGTTGTTTGGACAGTTGTGAAACCTTTGGGATTGCCTCCAATGTTCTTCTATCTCCTTTCAGGCAGCTCGATTAACATTTTCTTCACTCAGGTTTGCAGCTGTGCTCATGCAGCTAGCCGTCGTAGTTCCGCGACAAGACTGCCGAAATGAACACTGGCCGTTTGTTGCTTGTCCTTGTGGTTGGGCGAATATCGACGCCTCACGGATGGTTCAGTTGAGCTACCAGAGGGTCTAGAGTTGGAGGTTCTTCAGAGCTGATCGCGCCTTGAAGAGGCGGCAGCCAGCTCGCCTCAACGCAGGGGAGATTACAATCAAGCATGGAGTACGGCTTGTTGCTGTCAAAACTGATATCCGTCTGTCTAAATGGCATTTAACAGTTGGAGGACGATCCGCAGACTTGTAGTCGGAAAGTAATGGGGCACAGTGACCCTATTTAGTGCTGTCAGAGGTCGCCAGTCTCTTTAGCTCTTTTCATGAAGAAAACCGTCTTCAGAAAATTTGTTTTATCCACAAGACCAAATGGCTTTATCTGATCCTAGGAAATGCAAAACCCTTCTTTGACCTTGTAACTGAATACTGTTGCTGAGACCATCAAGTGTTTGAACACAGGCAACTGAGACCGCTTGATTTGTGTTACCACTGGTAAGATTATGTTCTTGTCAATTGTTTTAAAAAAAAAAGTCACATCAATGACAATCTAGGGGATAACTACAATGCAAGGCTATCTCATTCATGACATTACGCTGTAATTGGCATCGTCTATATGGCAGGCAAGTCGAGTTGCAAGCATTACATAGTTCATCATTGCATTGTAGATTCCAACTAGTAAAGTGATTAAGGTCCGTATACTCTCAGTGTTGCAATTTAATGCCATTCGCATTGTCAAATCTCGCCTTTCTCGTTCTTCCAGCCACTGCTCTCCTTCAGCCAAGCCTCAAAATCTTGCAAACGCGGTTCTTCTTTCCTCAACGCTTGGATGTCCGCTCCATAGCCCTCTCTCTTGAAGAACTCAAACATCTTGCCTACGTCGGCTATGGCCCATAGCATACCCTGTCCAAAGATGGTGTACGTCTGCGGCATGTCGCTGCCGACAACCTTCTTGAAGACCTCCCTTGCCTTGGCGTAGGTGACGTCCTCGCCAGCCAGCGATACGGCCCTCCGATCCCATTTCTCAGGGTTCCCAATAGCTTTGGCTGCAAAGAGCCCAATATCCCTCACCGAGACAAGTTGCAAGCTTCGATCAGCCGGCAGGGTGGACCACATGGCTGCGAACATCTTGCCAAACATACCCGGATTGGTGTTGTCCAGGAACGCCGTCGGACGAAGAATTGTCCAACGTAACTGTCGTCCATCCTTCTTGAGCTCGTCAGCGCGGTCACGAAGGTGCACCTCGATGGCATGCTTCTGCAGGAAATGCGGCACGTCGGTAGGGTTCTCCCAGGATTTGTCATCGCCGCCGCGGTCGACGGAGGTGAGAACAATCTGAGCGGCGTTCGCATCGATAGCGGCATCGACCCAGGCTTTTCCGATGACGTCTTCGTTACCGATAGTAGTCACGATGAAGGCCGTGTCGATGCGTGGGTGGGCTTGGAAGACTTGGGTTTGAGAATCCTTGAGGTCGCCTTGGACGGGCGTGACTGTGACGCCCTTGGTCTTTGCGAAGTCAATGAGTGACTGGACCTTTGCAGAGTCGGGATTCCGTGTGAGGGCGAGGATCTCGAGAGGGGGAGAGCTGGCGGGAAGCTCGAGGAGAGCATCGACGACAGCAGCCCCTTGTTTGCCGGTTGCGCCGAGTACGAGGACTTTCCTTGTTGACGCCATTGTTATTTCGAAGTAGTCTTCTGTGAGAAATTGTGCAGAGTGGCTTGGCAGTGTAGTGGTATTGTACTATTTCCAGGTCGTTGACTTGATGTTGTCTGGGGAAGTTTGCGCAAGTATAGGACTCAGTAATGTCGTTCAGTTGAACGGTGAAAACAAGCCCCTCACACAAACAAAGTGCTGATGAGCTTGGGGACCAATTGCAGGGATGAGCTTCTGGCATGTAATGTCTGAGGTTTGGTGTCGTCATGACCTTGCCCGCAGGCGCTCGAGCATTTCCCCAATTGCATGTCCGAGCTGCTTGGTTATGACGAAGTGCCAATCTGGGCTTTTAGCCAGTGCGGGATGAGTAAGGTGTATGCTTGGTATAGCAAATGCTGATCCTATCGAGTTCTTGACAAATGTGGGAAGAATCTAACGAATACGTTCATCGAGTCTTACGCTCTGAGAGCACCGACAGTAAAAACCACGTGGAAAAGCAAATAGAGTCTATCAGAATGTCAGCAGAAGCTTTAGGTAAGGGTTGGAGCGGCAAAGCCCAGCAAACTTTCTGGTGTTGCATTCGTCCGACCACTATTGTCAAACTAGCACGGTAAAAGAAGCAGGGGTGATTATGCCGTCTTCACCCAGCACTCAACGTTTTGTTCCTTGATTAGGTTATCTACGGCGGAAGTACTCGAGCACAACTCCGACCCGGATTCGGCGCCGGAAATCAGGCAACAACCGCGGCCGTTAATGATCGGCAGCAACCTCGGCGCCGTATGAGCTTTGGTGTACTCTGGCAGTACAGCGACCCGTCCTGGGCAGCATGGACAGATTCAACAGGGCGAGAAGTTTACGTCATCAGCTAGTCTCTGCTCGTCTCATCACCAATCCAAATGGGGGAGCGGGGGCGGAGTTCGACCCAAACGCGAGATTTCCATAAGCCTCAAAATGCGAGCCAAAGAGGTTGATATTGGACGGGGATACCCGTCAACCCGATCAGTAATTTGGCAGAAGACGAAGGCCGTTTTTAGATACCGAAAAGTGCAAGTCCTGAGTTATGCGCAAGCTAAAAATGTTTGGGCATGCCTCAATACGATGTTACGCTTTCACGAACATGTTGGCTGCGAAGCTGAGCTGTTTCTCACGGCAATGAAGCATCACTGCTGGCCAGAAAAGGCATTTAGCTAACCGATGACTTGGCAAGAAGAACACGTTTTGTTTGCAATCTGTCTTTAAGGTGTTTGTGTTTGTAAACATTCACATCATCCCATCCTTCCTCACACCGGACCTCATGACTCTCGGTGCCGCATATACATCTGGGGTGCGCCGGGACCGGCACATCCGGAGCCACCGGAGATCCCCAACGCGCGCACGGAGCAGTCCGTAACTGTATGGTCTGTGGAATGAGAAAGCAGGCAAAACAAATGTGAAGGTAGTATTCGAATTTGCACACAGGGCATTTGCATGCTGTTATGACTACCAAACAAGGGAGTCGCATTGCAACGCTGGCTGAAGTCGGAGTTTGAAGAGAGGCACCGTCCCGGCGACATCAAACAGTGACACGGTAGCGAGACGGACACGACTCTAAAATTATCAGACGTCTGAAGACTTATGACGTTGTTAGAGCGTCGCAAAAGGTTTAAGAGCTAGCTACCGGCCCAAGCATCGCCTTAAGCATTCGGAAGCGCACCCGCAGACTTGTGGCTGCAACTCGAATCAGCTATCGTAGTGAATCAATCGCAACGTTTTGCGCAATTGAAATTGTAGCCGCAGCCTCCAAATCGCAGAAACTCACCCAACAAATTGAAGTCATGATCGGCCGCGTTCTCCTCACGCTTGACGGCATCATGCTGCTCTTCGGCGCATACATGGCGGATTGGAACGAGACGCACATTCACAACCCGCGCTGGCCTCCGCACGCCAAGTAAGTCTTTCCTCTGGTTCTCACCTCATCAATGGAAAGTCGTGATGTCAGCCTACATGCACCTTGTCGCATCACCGCACGCCGCAGACATCAAACCCAGATAAACTGACCATGCCAAACTCCCAGATTCCACAATGCGCAAACCATGACACTCTCCTTCATCTTAGGCATCGCGACGCTCTTCTTTACATGGCGCACCAACGCGTCGGCCCAGATGGCTAAGGAGTCATTCCGCATCGCGGGCTTCCTGGGGTCCATCTACTGGGTGGCAGGGTGGGCGTCGCTCTTGTACCCTGGCACTGATGGGCTAGACCCCGAGTTTGGTGGGCCAGGATTCCCACAGAAGTACCCCTTCACGGCAGCCATTGGACTGGCCGTTACTGGGTTGTATCTCGAGGGGGCTTCTAAATACGTCGGCGACAATGAGACGCTGAGGGACAATTGGCGGAGAGATCAAGCCGCGGCCCGAGTCAAGGACGCGGGAAGAGAGGGGGAGAGCTTGAAAGGAATCAAGCCTCTGAGAATGTGAGCAGGGGCTTTTGTTTCTTTTGTGGAAGGGGTTGTCTCGTTAGATTGCTGGCGACGTGGACTTTGGGCTGAGTTCCCTGAGTATCATTCTTCTAGGTAAATGGGGTTACGAATGCATTCCAGCAAAGCAAGCTGAGCCTCCCGTGTCCCTCCTTCGCCTTGGGTTCGTCCCCGCCCGTCGAGAAGTCAAACCGACATTTCGCAATCGCGGCGACGACGACGCAGCCCTTTCTAATTTGGTGCCGGGAAGTGGGCGGGCGATTGACACGACGCATGACCGAGCAGGCGGTATGTGATCAGGGGACACGGGGATTCTTCCCCGGGCAGCGTGTCCGAAATAGCATTCATCGGAGGCAGCAGGAGCGAGACCGGGGGATGGAATGGGACAAGCAACGGGTGAGAGATATCGAGAGGATTAGGCGGAAATAGTATTGTTTTCAAGATTTTCAATCTTGTTCAATTAAACTGTTTCAAAAGGTTTGGGTCCATGTGGGCTTTGCAGCGGACATCCACCGCTTTGGTGTTTCCGCCAAACGCATATCCAGTGTGCGAAGCGGTCTTGTCTTGGAGCCCGCACAGAATGACGTGGGCTAAGAACTTGGGGAACAGGGGGTGGTGGTGACTGAATGACGGCCCTGGTGGTAAATCCGAATATGCATGCATCGGATTCTGGTTGGCTTTTCTTCGCTTTGGTAAGCTCGGGTTCGCCCCCCTTGTTCGGCGGCCGGCACAAAAGCGTAAGCCACATCACAAACAAGCTAGTACAGGATGAGGGGCCGATGGCTTGGATTGGTTTAGGCTGGCAATGCACCTCTCGGAATCGCGAGACAAGATGAGAGCCGAAGTTGTTGTGAGGAATCAGGAGTCGAGATACACTATGAAAAGGTCTCGGTAGCGGCTATCCGGTTAGCTCAGGGTGGGAATGGGAAGACGATCGCTGCTGAGGACAAACAGTACACGTTACAGCCAAGTCTGTTAAGACATCTCTTCCTGTGGGAACATGACAACACCTCAAGAGCGGTGCCAAAAGAACCTTGAAATCACAGCCTTGGGAATACGCATTTTGTTCCGCAACTCGACATCAGTAGCTCGCGTGATGTGTTGCCGGATGAGCTGGGCTTACCGTTGACTGATAGCGGAGACGGATACCGTGCTTTTGGGATGTGGAGAACCATGACTGTTGTGACCTGTAAGAGCGCTTCGGGAGCTCATGGCGAAAATACCTGGCTGACCAACCTATGTAGTTAGACTGCCGACTTGCATGTCTTCCCACGGCAGTGGGATGGATTTTTCTCATAGTACTTTCGAGGTTCTTGGTCTCGGCCTTACTGGGCCGTCATGAGACCCAGTAGAATGCCTCCTCGAAACATGTAGACGCGACAACGAGACTTCTTCGATGGGGTAAGACAAGGCACAGGACAAGACCAGGGGCTGGCGCCTCGCAGGACCGGCGGGACGCCCAGAAGTGCAATGGACAAGAGTAATGCAACGTGAGCGCGGCTGCGGATACAACGGGATCAAACATGGCAGCACTAAGTACAGAGTACCATGGTCATCATCTAGCCTCCTTGACGGAGGTACGTTTCTGACTGTTCTGCTCTGCAAACCCCTGAGCTACCCCAATACCAATAGTCTTTCAGAGCCGTCAGGTTGAGTGCGCTTCCTCCGCCCTTCCCCGCCGTCGCAGGGCCCCAATCAAAGAAATACACACCGCAGTAAACGAATGGGGCCTGAGCCACACACACGCACTCAGCTCTCCCAACTCACAGCACAGTCTGTCGTCCACCGAAGCCCCGTTCAGATGACGGTCTCCACCAGAGCTTACGACGACTGAACATCAAAGCAAGGATGACACAATACCCAGCAACCAGTCTAGTTAGTCCAGTCCAACCAATGCAGTGCAGCAAGTACAGCGAGCGCAGACGCTCCTCCTGCTGAACTCATTTCTGGGCAGGAAAGGAGAAAGAGAAATACACAGGCTAGTTTCCAATCCCGCGGCCTGGAAGAGACGTGAAGCTGGGATGAACCGAGGATCATGGATGAAGGATCAGACGGCTTCAGGTCGAAGGCGCCTTCCCGCCCCTCCAATCATTTGGGATGACGGCGGATGTCTCTTTGCTATCTGTTGCGATGCTCCACGTCAAAGTACCGGGTGACAAGGCATTGCTGCGGATAGGGCAAGAATGCATGGTACAACGGCCGCGTAAAGGTACATTGGGATGCGCCCAGATCGTCCAAGGCTGGGCCACATCCCGAATTCTCTGGTAACGCGGAGGTCCCCTTTCCTAAAGTCATCGTTCATCGGCCGTCTTCTTGCATGAGGGTCTGAGGGGTGCTTTTGAAGAACATATCTGCCCACTTTGTTTGATCCTTCTGGCCTTTTTCCTCCCCCCTTTGACTCTTTGACCTTCGTGTACCTGATCATCCTTCTGAGTTCCCATTTCCCTTACTGCTATCTTCTCCAAGTTCTCAAGACAACACGCTTTTTAGAAGATCAACGGCCGCCGCCCCGGCTTACCACCAACCCCCCTCCTGCGACGCAACCCGTCCCCGCTGTTCAGTGTGCGAAAACATTGGCGAGAACGAATAAATTGACTTTCCACTCTTCGACTGCCGGCTTGGCACGGTGCCACGACCAAAAAAATACCCGTTGGTAGCGGTGTCGGCCACACACGACCGACTGCCCTTTCGGGAAACAATTGTCTTTGACACCGGAAACTTCGCAAACCCCCCCAGAATAACCAACGACAATTGACGTTTGTCTTGGAAAACATTAAAACCTATTGCAATTTGAGCAGCTGGGAGACTTCGGGAGGAAAGGCAAAAAGTGCACGCAGTCGACCAACGCCATCCGCCGGTTGGGCTTCAATCGACCGAATCACCCAAAACCGTGGCGAATAGAGTCATACCAAGCATCATCGTCACCGACGACGACAACGACAACAACGCCTCGCACGACTACTCCTTACGACAAAAGTCGCGCAGAATGTCCAAGGAACTCCCTCGTCACGAGAGGCGGGCCTCATCACCAACGCCATACAACAGCAGCTCCGGAAACCCCTTCGATCAGTGCGATATGAGCCTCAAGACGCTACTCGGCTTCATCTCAATCCGTGTCTTGCGCGGCGGCCCACGCCTCATCATCCAGCTCATACTCGCCGCGTTTGCTCTTCTTCTTCTCGGCAAGTTCTTCACGTCCCCGGCGTCGACAGATGCCCTCTTCAATACCGGTTCAAAATGGAGCTGGTCGCCGTTTGGCAAGGGTGAGGAGCAGCAGGGTGTTGGTACCGGCGGACCCGGCGGATTGAGAGTCGTGGCATTCGGATCGCCAGATATTGCGACGCCATCGACGGGCAAGGGAGCGAAGGGCAAGGGCAAGGGTTGGACTGAAATGCTCTGCGAAGAGGTGCGTCGAATCATTCTCCCGGCTCATCTAATCAACTGACATTTTCACAGCTCCGCTGCTCCGCTCACCAATCCTTTATCCCCTCAACCAGCCTCCCCACACAGGCTATGACGTCCAACAAGGAATACAGAGACACTATCGAAACACTCGCCTCCGGACTGAAGCAGTCCAAAGCCCCAGGTTTCAACTATGATTTCCTGCTTGAGCAGTTTCCCCTGTCTGAGGCCATCGCCGACCTCAAGTCCCAGATCGACGTCTTCCTCGCCCAGCCCCAGCCCGAGGATCTGCCCCGCGAAACCGTCTGGGTCTTCACTTTCGGTACTTGGGACGTTTGGACGCTCGCCTCGCTGCCTCGCGACGTTGGTCAAGGCATGATTGACGCCGCTGTCGCGGCCCTCTTCGAACAGGTAGAGCGTGTCTACCAGGCCTCTCTTGACACCAAATCCGTCGCCTACTCCGAATTTTGGGCCTACCAGGACCCATCGCTTATCGAGAAGCTCAACGCCATGGACAAGGGCGAGGGTGAGATCGACCCGCGCGAGGTCGAGAACTTCCGTGTCATTGTACCAGAGCTGTTCGACGTCTCACTGACACCCGGGTGGCACGCCCAGCGCCCTACCCCACCGAGTCCGCACACCAAGGCTGAGCAGATGACCAACGCGGCGTATCTCACAAGTAGATGGAACTCCGAGGTCAAGGGTCGCATGGATGAGTGGATGCGCACGGCAGACCCGCAGCCTAAAGATAGCGAGGATAAGGGCAAGTTTGGCTACGTCCCGCAGAGCCAGGGCGCCGAGGATCCCAACACCACGGCTGAAGGCGAGGATCTGCGCGTACCGTTCCCCCGTCGGGCCGCCGCGCAGGTCGATACGGCGAGCTTCGTTAGGGAGGCCATCATTGAGAAGCAGATGCGTGACTACGAGCTGACGGATATGATGGGCCGCGGGAACAGGACGGACGGCGAGCAGGGCAATGTCTTCTTCGCCGAGACGTGGATCCCCTGTATCTGGGCTAAGACGTCCGAGACGCCCGAGGCCGCGGGCGGGTATGCTGTGTGTGACGCCCCTGGCGATTATCTCTTCCACTCGCCATTTACCTTGAGTGAGCGCGCGGTCCGGGAGACGGCGCGGATTGCGGCCGCCGAAACACGGAGCAGACTAGCGTTTGTGGACCACACAGAGGAGCACGAGGGCGAGGAACAAGAGCAGGAGAAGCCGGCGGCAGCGAAGACGAAGAGACAAGAGCGGAGGGACGAGCTGCGCGGGTTCCAGCGCGTGATCCGCCCGGTCCGCGCCATGAGGCTCGTTGATGCCGCGTGTCCAACGCTGGACGTCTGCTGAGTCTCGAGTCCTGCATTGCGATTAGTTCTTTGAGTACAACCCATCGGCATTGGCGAATCGGTTTTCATTTCATTTCATGGCATCGGCGTTGGCGGGGATTTGGGCATCAGGCATAATTGACGTCGACACTCCTGGATCTACCAGGGACGAGATATGGAAACGTGGAGTTCAGGTTAGATCGGATGCCGGGGACAAATCAGCAAAAGAGTCATAGACAATGGCATTTTCATTGAGTACACAGCATTTTTATTTATTCATACACTCTTGATTTCGTTTTGTAAATGTGCGGCCGAGTGCTGCAGGTGCTCTGATGCTGCAACCTGAGTTCACTCGCAAGCCGAACCAGCACGGTATCCGGCATCAAAAGTCCAAACCGAAGGCTTAATCCCGAACTAAGAATAGAGCGGAACGAAGCGTTGCCTTCGACCTTGTATCTTTCATCCTCCCTAGTCTGAGTGGATCAGTAATTTTCATGGCCCTGGTATACATTAACGGTTGCATTATACGGTGGTCTAATATTGCGGAATCTGAGTAGCAGCTTATGCCAAGTGTCTTTGGTCTGAAATTCGATGTGTGTAGAGCTCATACAAGCTTTGCGACATCTTCCCCGAGATGCTGAGCCCGACTCATCGAGAGCGTCCTTTCCAATGGTGGAGCAATACCCCCGGTTTGCTGCTTGACCCCGGGCTCTGGGTCTTTGGTAGGGAAATCGCCGTAATATGCGGGCATCGCCTTTCAGTGTACAGCTAGTGACCCATGTTTACTAATTGTAGGTAACCACTCAGCACCCTGCCACGTGCCAAAATGGGTGGTAGAGCAGAGGTGGATTCTCATGATACGACAAGGGTCCGGTCGAGCCATGTGTCGAATGCAACGGACGACACTGGACGCTGTCGACGACGTATTTGATGTCACCAACAAATGCACCGGAGATGGCGCCTCAATCCGCAGCGCGCATCCATGCGTCAGCCCTAAATCAGGACTCTTCAAAACTGTCCACCATCGGCTCCCGAGGCGCGATGCACAAGCTGAGCACGCTTTACCCCTTTGGTTCCCAGCCTAAATCAAGGTTGACTCTCGCCAAGCCCATCTCACGCGAGCGGCACAGCAGCTTATTGCCAAAAGAGGCAGAGTATGACGATATACGGCATATCTTCTTTGCCCGACTGGTGCCTGTCAAGATGCGCCAAGCATTTTGTTTGTCTCTGATCTGGGGTATCTGGACGGATTATCTTTTCAAATGCATTTCCTCTACAAGTAGTAAAGCACAGTGTGAACAAAGACAATCATTGTCAGGTCGTAGTCAACAGAAGCTATAAGAAATCACCTCCCATTCAAGTTGTTCACAGTTTCCATAGGCAGTAAGCCACTAGTGATCCATAACCAAGAAGAAAACTGCCAAGATGCCTGTCACCGAACTCTCCCAGCATCCCCTCACCAACCTCGGCCCACTGACGACGGTCTTCACCGCACCCTCAGCATGTGCCACCCGCTCCCCGGACCTCTACCTAGCCTTCGAGTCCGCATTCACAGACCGTGTACAGCCTTTCTTCCCAAAAAGATGCGAATACAACCCGCTAAGCAACTGTTTTCCATCCGGCAGCGCTCTCGACGCGTCCTACACGTCCGCCTCGTCCCTGGGCTTCCCCGGCGGCCAGGCCATCGCATACTTTTCCCCCGCGAGCATCTGTCCGGAGGCGTACACCACTGCGGGCGTGGCCGCCAAAAACAGCAACGGCGAGGTCAGCTCCGCGGGCGTGTTCTCTCCGCCGGTGGTGGAAGTCCCAATCGGGTCTCAGCCTGAAGGAAGGGGCCCATTGGCCGGCATTATTGGAAGCAACCCGATTCTGAACGTTCTTACAGAGGCACTCGATAATGGCGAGATTGCTGTCATCTGTTGTCCTCGGTACATATCCATTTTGCCTTTTTTCTTCTTTCTTTCTGTGTATTATTGCCATCACGTTAAGTAACAGTTGAGCAGCGGGCCAGCTGACAATCATGATTTCGTAGGGATTACATTGTAGGCTATCAAGGTGGTTGCTTTTCCGAGGTACCAGAATCGGTGTATGGTGAAAAGGAAATGTGTCAGAGGCAAGTCGGGAGGGAGCATTACACCTGGGCCAACGCGACCATCACGTACAATGATACCGTAGTCACGGGTTCCGTCTTCTCGTACACGGCAACCAGCAATGCGGTCAGCACGCAGATCACGACATTCACCGACGATGATTCCGGGCCTTTTCAGCTCGTCGCCTCGAGACCGGCCGTTACCTTGATCTTCAATACCGTGGAGGCAACTGTAACAGGAGCCGGTGGCAGTGATGGTGGTAGCGGCACCGCTGCCCCAACAGAGACCTCTCCAAGCGCGGCTTATGGCTGGGGAATGACAAGCTCCGGACGTGGTGTTGGCCTTTTGACGACCGTGTGGGCGCTTGCGGCGTTTGCTGGGGCTGCGCTTGCGGTGCCTTTTTGAATCTATACCGATAGAGGAAGCAAACAGACTGCTGTCTCGGTCTTTTGACGGGAGACTCCAGTGGATGACATGCGGTAACGAGTTAGACTTCGGATTCTGACCTAACTAATCTCATTATTGATATCGATAGCATGTATAGCTCTACGTATCTTCCAATTGAAAGAGTAGCCTAGAAAACAGGCAGGGCTGGAGACCAACTTTATGTAGCTGGGTCCCGAATTATATCACGTTACCAGGAGGGCTCATAAAGGCTACATCACCTTAATCCTAGCTATATCCTCTTATGCTCTTTCAAAGCCTCTTGTAATACCTTTATGGTTGCGAGCACAGCTGGAGTACCATATCAGTTCGCAGACCGCATAAGGATTTACCTCGTTGTTTACCCACATCTCCCATTAGTCGAGGTCAAATGGAACGCGAACAATTTATTATACGGGAGGAGAAGAGAACGTGAACCAGAGTAGATGGCAAGATTTAGATTGCAATCATAAATAAACTCTTAGTGATCGTCCTTTCATAGAACATCGTAGCTTGATATGCACTGTAAACTCTTTGGGTCAACCCGTATAGTCTTCACATCAACTTAAACAAAAGGTATGTCAGAAATACACTAGTGCTGTTTAACTTGAAAATCTTAAACATTGGTGATAGTCTCACATACTATATCACTGAAGTCCGCTCACTCCCAAACGCTATAAACAAGGGCTTATTTTAGACATATCGGCCCCAGTCAGGATTAGAGGTGAGTAATGAAACTAATCATCGGCCGTATATGAACAGCACTATTGCAATTCAAACTCAGCATGAAACTTTTCCTGTTTCCTCGGACATCTTTTTTCGTCTTTTCCTTGTTATGCCTCGTTTTTTATCGTTCCGTTATTCGAGTTATTACCGTTGATAAATACAAGCAACATAGCCACGCACCTTTTCGATAATCGGCACCGAACCGGATTCAGAGGTAACTTGGCGTTTGTAAAGTAATCGGAGAGAGCATCGAGAGATACCCCCCACCCAAAAAAAAAAAAAAAAGGAAAGAACCCCAAAAATAGACTCGGCTCGCAGGCAGAAACATTTCTGCAACGGTAGAGCTGTCCGGCCTTTGTGACGTGATGGCATGATGAGTTGTTTGACAGAAGTTTAAAAGACGGACATGCGTTTGCCAAGGCTTCAGGTTACGTTGACGACTGCAACCCGCATACAGAGTACCGAATAAGGAAATGGGTCCGTGTTTCGTTCATCATAGGTACCAGCGAAGCCGAGCTTGACTTTCTGTTGCTCAATTCACATTAGTATCAGTCATGCCGTCGGGCCAGGTGCCGGATTTTCTGGCTTGTGTTGATTGGACGGTTCTCACAGCTGAACTTTGCGCCAGCAATCGGGACGTCAACTATTAGTGGGTTAGGTAAGGCCGCATCGTTGTCTCACTAAAAATGTGTGATTCACTCTGAGAAGAATTCCATGGCAGAAGGTCCGCAAGTACCGCAGCGTGCCCAATCTGATCGGCCAACAGCAGCAACAGTGTAAAAAGCCCACCATTGTCGCAAGTGATGTCACTCCAAGGTTGAAGAGCCTCATCGGACCGTCCCGTTATTCCTATATCAGATTGCAATGGTCGCACGAGACCCAGTCACCTCTGCATCATGTACTCGGCAGTGAACCACATCGATTGTGATAGAGTCTCATTACGGAGTAACAAGGCCTGCGCCGCTATGGCCGCGCGTTTTCCATTCGAGCCAAGACAGTGCTGTGTCGTCCTTCTGATTGGTCGCGCTGGGTGTGTGTTCAGCGCAAATTAAATTAAAAATTGTTAATGCGCCTCACGTGTGTCGGCCAGCCCGAACCCGCCAACGAGGCAGTGAAGAGAAACTCAAGTCGGTCTTGTGCCGTCGAAGCCGGTTTCTCCAAGAAAGCCCAAGTAAGATGCCCAGCCCCCCCAATATTTTTTTTCCCTCCAACCAAAAGTGACTTCCACCAAGTCTTAGCCCTTCACGTGTGGTCCAGTGCTGGTGATCCCCCAACGGGCCGTATATCGGCGCTCAGTCACCGCTTGTCAATTTCCGCGACCCGACTTCTACCCCCATACGAGCGGCGCCGTTGAAATCACAATGTCACAGCCGGGATCCGATGAGGAAGGGAAGAGAAAGCGGGACAAAGTGGGAGAGTTCCTGTACGCGCGCCATTTGTTTTCACTCTGTGCCTCAACCCCTGCCAGCCCTACGATGCTCTCATCCCCGCCTTTGTCACAACACTATTGCACCATGCCAGCATGAGCAGCGTTAATTTGGCAGCTTATTGACTCAAAGATAGGAAGAAGAACCTCACCAAAGGCGAGCTCGCCGTGAAGCATGCCCTTGGCCTAGGCGCCACACCCAATGTCGTCCCGGTGACGCAGCCGATCCTTGACGGCCCGCCTCGTGTGGTCGAGGTCGGCTGGCACCCCGTTGGGGGACTCGCCGGCAAGTGGTTCGCCGAGGAGACTGGTCTGGGCAAAATGATCACGGAGAAGATCAACAAGTATCCCGACCCTACGCAGCATTGGGCTGTGCTTGTCGGCGATTTCGCTCATCAGCTGTGGATGGTGAGTCAATCCAATCTCATTCACATTTCCATCTCCACCTCTCGCTCCTGTTTCTCACTGGCTAGTTTCTGACGATGGGGCCCAAAGGATGAGAACTTCCATGTCATTTACACCAACGAGCGATACAAACGCGATGAATGGCGGACTTTCACAGTCGGTGAGACGCGCTTCAATGATGATGCGATCCGGCGAGCGGGTGAGTCCTCGCGGTCCCTCTTATATGCCCAGAAATCTCGGCCTAGGGAAATACTTCGAAGCTCATGCGTACTAATGAGACGCAGGCGAGTACGTAATCCAGAGCATCAGATCGCGGCAGCCCGCATACAACCTCATCAGCAACAACTGCCAAACATACGTCCTGGAGCTCCTCGACGCTGTTAAAGTTGACGGACAGAAGGACTTTGGCACCACCCTCGCCGTCTACGAAAGGTTGTTCAGCTCCGGCAAGGTCATTGATCTCTTTTCTGCGGAACAAAAACCGGAGCACCACCAGCAACATCTGCTGGATGCGCCTCCGCAGCAATACCCCCCTCTCCCACCGTCGCCGGCTTCGCCGCATACCTACTCACCACCGCCGGGACAACAGCCGTACCCCCCGCCCTTATTTGGATTTCCGTCGCCCCATAACGGACCCACACCGCCGCAATACCAATACGGCCTTCCGCCGCCGCCACCGCCGCCGCCCCCTCATCCATCCGGCCCCCCGCTTGGTCATCGCCCAGGTACGGTCTCGCACGCACAACAAGTCATGAACGACAACACCACACAGCTCGATACCCAGGAAGAGGCGAGCAAGCCAAGGGAACTCAAAAAGGAGCACAAGCGCGGGTTCTTCTCTCGGTTTTCAAAGAAGTGAGCGTCTAGTCGGCCATCTGCATCATGATACAGGGCACGATGTGGTGCAGCATGTGTTGCCAAAGTTCTTGATCGACTGTCTTACGATTCTTGTATTCCACATACCCTTTTACGGCCTTTATCATGAGACTCCGGAAGATCCGGGAAGTAACATACTTAGAGCATCTGGAGGTGGCGTTTAAAGAGGCTGGCGTTACCCAGCCTGAAGCAGTGGCCACTTTTGTACGTAGTATATGTAGGTAATGGCAAAGCTCGATGTTGTTGACGCACACATCTCGCTCGTTAGTTCGGCGAATAGACGCTCTGCTACTGGTTTTCTCGAGGTACTCAGTGAAAAATGTGAAGTTTTCAGACTTGAAATGCTTGATGTACCCAAGAAACATAACGAGGCTTCAAACTGATGAGGCCGGTTGCTGAAAAATGTCTAAGGTCCCAGCAAAAGCCGACTGACTTGGTCATGTCCTGGGGTTTCTGTGGTTACTTGGTAGTAATGTGCAGGGACCAAACACTTGATGGGCTTGGCTAAAACTACCGACTGGAGGTTTTGGGTCGGTTGTTCTTGCTCCTTTGGTTATCGCGGTGACTCGTTGGTGTGACTATGGATAATTCACTCGGCTCTCGATTTGTCTCCATGAATATCTGACAAAAAGGACCAGAACCTGAACACGTACAATTATGAGGAGGACAATGTACTGAGAACGAGACGTGAGCTTGAAGTCCTAATAGAGCACAACTTGATGATTCAGTGCCCAGATGGTAAGAAACTCACTGTTTTGTTTCTGGTCGTTACCCGGTAATCACCGTTTTTCAATAATTGACCATCATGTTCCCGAGAAATGGCATACATTGACGTCCCAGACTCATTTAATGATCAAGATATTATGTTTAGTTGGTACAGCCGAGGACGAAGTAACATGTCCCAAAGGTATGTAGCGAATCAAGAATCAAAGGTGTCAGTTCAGGATACGATGGGTTCTCCAAGCAAAATCCCAGTAGTACAAACCAGGCTCGACCTACCTGTCAAAGAGACTTGCAAAACAAAATTTTAAAAGGATGAACTATGATATCCAAGTCTTTCAAATTCCGCTAGACACCTGGCTCCAGCGAAAAGTTGCCAACATTGATGGAATACTTAGTTACAAGAACAAAGCCTAGAAAAGACACCGGTACCATCTAAGATTTCTCTAGTTGATAATCAAGCCGGTTTCATTTACATTCTATTTGTTAAAAACCCGGGTCAATCACCGCCCTGTGTCTGGAAAGCATTGATTTTGGTAAGTCTGCTTGTCCAGGTCGATCGTGCTGCGGTGGATGCTGGTGATAGCTGATGTAGGTGTGCAAGAAACCTTCAAGTTTGCGGTCCTTGAAATTCATCTTACTAAGAGAAGTACGTTTTGATCTGTACTTATTGAATGGGAACCAACTTCTCTAGTATTATTTAGCACACCTTGAATAAAAGTGTAAGGAAGGGTCGAAGTATAGGCCTCCAGGTAAAAACAGTGTTTCGGGGGCAAACTGGAATGTTTTGACCACCAAGAACTTAGTCCATCGTGATTAATTTGCAGTGCGATATTATTAAACCTGCAACTTTACGTCTTGAAGAATACTTCGCAAACAGTCGTTGTCCTCCGGTTAAATGAAACTAATGCATGCTCACCTAATTATTCATTCTAATGAGAAATGTAGGTCAGTCGAGATCGATGGTCGGACTGCCAAGAAAATTGACAGGATGGTAGTTCATTTTTGAGATGAAGTCTCGCCATCAATCGTTAATTACACTTCTAGGTGTAATATTCTTTGCAATATTCAGGACCTTGCATTATGGCACACCAGAAACAAGCGGTGTCGTAGCAAAGCTAACATGAAGACCAGCAGAGCCAGTGATAAGGCCGTCATCCAATATCATGTTCTCTTGTAATCCTTCGTAAGACTCTTTGACTGATTGTGAAGGCGATCAAATTGTGTGACGTCACAGAGTAGCAATTCAGATGCGGCCGGGCGCATGATCAAAGAGACTCCCCATCCACCTACCACCACCGCTCGTACTCAGTAAGTTTAGAAAGAAGATGCTTCAGCTGATGAATGTCAAATCGCTTTGACGAGGCGCGACATCAAACCAAAGCTGTTTAATGTCAAGGCCCAAGCGTAGGAGGAAACCGATATCATTTACTGCTGGTTTGGGGTTTGGGTTTCCAACTAAGAATTCTAAATTCCAGCTGAGAGCGAAATTTCGTCCTGACTTTCGGCAACAGAAGCCGATCGCAGGATGTCATCTAGGAGATCGTCAATGCTAATGAATCTAATCGTTCAGGGTTCGTTAGCCGAGGCCTAGACCAATACTTAACCCACATATGCGCAGATGTCACACCATGAAAAACCAACACGTATAGGCAATTGGTGTAAGATTCAGACCAAAGGCGGATCAGATATCAGATCACTATCTTTGGGGATACATAGCACCTGTTTGCCTGGCTTTGCAAGTCTATTATATCGTACTCAGTAAGATTTATTAAATCATGGGGTGTCTCGTCTATCATGAATACTTACTCCGAGAACTTTTTGCAGCCTCACAATTCATCACGTTGACGCTAGCATGGATGTTGCAACTTCGTGACGAGTTCAGCTAACTTAGCAAATACGTAACAACTGATTTAAGGATACCCATGAAACCGGACTACCGAGGTAGTTAATGTGGACGGGCAATTAAGATTTCAAAGTTGAATGATCATTTGAAGTTATCTGATCGATGAGAGCAGCTTCTGTAGGGTTATTATTGAGATATATAAGAGACCCGATTAGTTAGGACTGGTTTTGGTTTTCTTCAGTATTCCCAACAGTGCATATTACAGCGCCCATTATCCAATCCTCATATATACCAGACTTCTTTGTCTCCTGCCCGTTGTCCTAGTCATAATGCTTTCCATTAATCTTGTTCTCAATGTCTTGGCAGCATGTGCCGCTGTTGTTGTGGCTGCCCCAGTGGATGACGCTTCCGGACCTGCGTTGATCGCTCGGGCTGATGCCACTGTCTACATGTGCGAGGACAGCGGCTACAAGGGCCGCTGCCGGACGGAAAGAATCCAAACTGGAGCTTGCTGTATGTTCATTACTTCGTATTGATTGACTGGGCAAGAGATCGTACTGACATCTTTAATCAAGACAATGTGCCCAGAGATCTCGTCGATCGCATTAGCGCGATTCGCAATGATGACAGAAAGTCCAGTGATTGTACTTGGTACCGGTGAGTTACAAAACTTTGCCTCAAGTCGAATTTCCTAATCTAATGTTGAATGTTTCCTCATGAATAACTTTTTTGGTCTCTAACAGTGACTACGATTGCCGTGGTGACACCTACCGCAATCAGGACGACGCTAACCTAGGAGATGGGAACGCTCACTTCAATGATTCCATCCGCAGCTACGAGTGCAAAAAGAAATAATTGTCGACTAGTCTTCATGACTCTCTAGCGCTCATGTTGAGGTTGTCCCCATTCGGTATGGAATGAGCAGGTACAGATGGCAGTGAATAGTCTGGGGTTTGTTTTCTTTTCAATTTTTTTCTGGCACGGATTTCAATACAAGGGTGCAATATAATGTGGATAATAAAAAAAATCACTCAGCTATATTATTAAAGGAACGAATGCAAGTTGAACGTCCTTCGCAGCAACGATTTGGTTTGTTCCTGGTAAGCTTGACCGCACGCTTTTCTGCATCAGATAACGGAAGGCTCAGGGAGAAGCTCAAAGGTATCAATGATATTACTGTCGAATGTTGGTCTGTGCACTCATCAATTTCATCAATTAGGAAACACTCCTTGCAATACGTCTGTCTTAAATCCTGCTGCAAGCCTTTGAGACTGAGCGTTTGAACAAAGCATACAGATGTTTGGAAACCCATGCCACCCGAACTGCTAATAGAACAGAATTTCGCCAAAATCATGATGATCTTTCCTCTACCAAGCACCGCCCCTACTCGTCTTAAATGTGTTGGTTTCACACACTTAGCCAGTTTTGCAGCCGCCAAGGCGAACGCTCTCAGCGTACATCTCATAAGTGTCCGCATTGGCAGCAGCCTGGCTAGCCGACAGGGCCTGAGCGGCAGTAGGGCCGTAAGCGTAGTCGGTCGTGCCGTACAAGTGCGTCATCTCGTGGAGGATGCTACCAGCCTTGTCATAGTCGTCACCCGAGCATTGCGAGGCGAGCTCGGGGAAGTCCCAGAAGCCGTTGTTAGGGCACGGGACAATAACGTTGGCCGAAGGGACGGTGTACAGCAAAGCAGAGCCGTCCGTACAGTCGCTGTACGTGTCGGTGCAAGAGATCTTGGGCGAAGTGGTCTGGACGTTGGCCACGTCGTTGTAGATGGTCCGCACCTTGGATTCAACCGAGGTTGATTTGAACCTGAACGGGGGACAAAGTCAGAACCTGTGTCATTTTAAAGTACGTATGGGGCCCATAATTGCTCACCAAGTGGTGAAGTAGTAGGCTGCGGTGTTAGCAGCAGTGTAAGCCTTGCTAGCCATGGAGATGGCGTCGGAGACGCTGGTCTTCAAAGTGCTTGTTTGCGAGCTGGAGCACGAAGAGTACGTGATGGAACGCTTCTGAATGCGGGACGAGATGGCTGGCTCGCCTCTGCGCGAAATGTGCTCCCTAGAAATGCGGAGGTTAACACCGGGCTAGCAATCAGCGCGTGTAAAGAGCATACTCAGCAACGGTAGACTGGTCAGGAGTGACCTCTACTTCGCCGGACGTCACATCTGCACACACAGCCAGCTCCTTGAAAGAAGAAGGCGTGTTCTCTCCCGTGGCGTAGCGGAAACCCTGAATGGCAGTGACCTTGGCCTGCTCGATGCCGCTGAGCTTGTAGCTCTTGGCCGCGTTGACCGAAACGGTGACGGTTTGGCCAGCCTCAATCTTCTGGAACGCACCAGCCGCGAGGCCGGTACGCTTGTAGTTGACGAAGACGCCCTCAAAGGGGAGTGCCTTGCCCTCTGCTCTTGTGTTAGCCCTTGTTCAATCACCTTGTTTCCCGTCGTATCAAACTATTGCTCTACATACCTGCGTCAGTCACCAAGAGATCCTTGGTGGCATGGTCGCTGAACACCGTGTTACCCTTAAAGACCGAAATGGACTCGTTGCCCGTGTTCGTGACTGCGACATTGACAACGTGGTTCTCCGCGTTGGTGATCTCGACGGAGAGAGGGCAAGTGGCTGAGGCAGCACCAGCAAGGAGAGCGATGGGAAGGGCTTTGGCAATCATTTTGACGGATAGACTTGGATGAAGGACTCTGGCTGGAGAGACAAGAACATCACGATATTGACAGAGACTCTTTAGTTGTATAAATACTCAGTCTACTCCATGTTATCCGCTCCAGACGATCATCCGACGGCAAGGGCCGAGATAAGCCAAAGCGGAGGAATTCCCATGTCAAGGAGGTGAATATACAAGAGCAAGCCCCGGAATGCATCGTTCCACTTCCTTGAAGGCTTACATTCCATGCTATCTAGCCTTCATTTGGAAGGTGGCGAATCAGGTGCGATCAATACATCTTGCTTAAGCGCGAGCCTATTCGAAGAGAGGCTTCGGAAAGCCAGCTGGGTCAAGGAGGTGTGAAGAAAGGTGGGTAGAATGCATACTGCCGACAATTTGCCAAATCACAGAGTGGATCACGGTTGTATTGTGACCTCGGCAGGTGGGCAAGGGGAGGGGATAGGTAGGCGGAAAATCCGGCAATTGGACGCATAGACCATAGTTCAACGATTTCCGCTAGACACTTTAGGAAGGCTCTTGGCAGTTCGCAACGAAAACGGTAGGTGGCATGAACAATAATCAGGGGTAGGGGGCCCAGCGCAATAATAATACCGATGAGTATGTCGTATTGTGAACCTTTGAACATATGCTTATCGGTGGCCTTAAGTCAACTTTGTCCTCCAATGCCCCTCTCGAGATTACATCAGACCGATTGCGGATGCTCCCGAAAGCTGTGTGGGGAACAACGATACTAGGGTAACGAGATAAACGGATGCGCCTTATCTGGTTCAATTAAGGCGGCGCTCGTGTTCTGGCATAAAGGTGCTGCGAGGTTAGCATGCACTTACTACTGGACATGCCTATTTAGTGAATCAAGGCCGAACGTCCTTTCTTTGATGTAACGGTGTACTTGTTGTGGGCGTCGTCGAGTCTTGGTCCGACGAGCATGCTGCTTGAAGTGAGATGCGTAAAGGGACTTTTGAGGACGGAAGCCGCCAAAAGAAGCCGTCATTCCGGGCATAGTTGAGAGGAAATACAGTAGGGAAGATTTAAATGGGCATGGAAGCAGGGATATTCTCACGACTCACTCTTCTTCATAGTCAGCTGAGGACGCTGCTCGACATAGCAGAGTCTTGATTCCTCATGGTTCGTAATGTACGCAAATTCGGAGAGCAAGACTTTGTTTGAGATTACTCACACTCGTCCCCTCATTCTCCCAGCAAACCCAACCGTCAAAGAATGTGGTTCATCGAATGCCAAATTTTCGGACGATGTTTTTAGCCATTTGTAGGTACTTTATGTGTTGGAATATTTCAATGATGTTCAATCTAGGTTCGGCACCTGCAGAGTGGATCGACAGAATTGATATCGCCAAGAGAAGCCAAGAATGAGCCAAGAGGCTTGGCCGATCGTAGCGTCTTAGCCGCATAATCCGTACTTTGTTCTTTTTGGGGTGTATGGCTGCTGTAATTCAAGAGAGTACAAGAGCCTTAGCTGTCTAAAGCTTTCGGATAATTTATTGTAGCACTTGATCTTCTGTTTTAGAAAATACAACCTGCTTGCACTTACCTGTTATGTGGGTGATAGCATCTCCTTCGACAGGTTCTTATGGACCCTTTACTCAATTCATTTGGTGCGGCGGCTACCTTCTGGTCGATGGCTGATTCTTCTTGATTCGCAGTTGCAGTGTGAGAATGAACCTCGCTCAAGACACCTCATCAGTCTTTTGTCGGAACATGTTATCACACCGCCTATCTTTGCTTTTGAGAAGGCATTGACCCTCTTTTCTGGTTGATATCGGTAAAACATATTATGCGTTGGTCTTGTGCCCCTTCACGGCGGACTAGTTGCGCTACGTATAGCCTCTGTTTGTTGTTTGCGCTTTGCTCCGACATCAGGTAAGACTTTTCTGGCCTACCCCTGCTTTTTTCTATTTCCATCAACGTTTTGTAATATTTCTTAAAAATCATATCGAAAGCCAGTCTATGTTATTGTCCAATCCGATTTGTATGATCTAGTTGATCTTGACAATGTAATGGAGAAGAACGAGAAGCTCTAATATCAACTAAATTTGCCTACTCCAATGCCTACAGCTCCAATACCACCACCCTGGTAGGTTGCAAAAGTCTTGCCCCCACGGATAAAGTTGACATTAGCCCAAACCTAAAACCGGACATATCATTAGCGTTTGTTTATTCAAGTTAGGGTCAACGAGACGAATGCCCGGGCTAATACTCACGAGTACCAAGTTCACCTCAATATCCCATTCCCCATGTAAGTCTTCCTCGTTGTCATAGTATACGTGGTCCCTAAAGATTTTAGCCATATTTGAGGAAGTGAACGTAATCTTATGCATAATAGAGATTGCTTGTATGACTTGATGATGGGTAGAAGTTGTTGAATAGTGCAGTATTTCGATAAAGAGTCAAATTGTGAAGAGCAGTACTTATGCTGACACCGAAGTGGGAAAGATTCTAAAGAATCCACCGACCTGCCCACCCCCGCCATGATTCATATTGCCTTTCAGCAGAATCTTTCAACCGATTATCTTAGTAATAACGAGCAACCGCTTAGGAGACGATGTTCACTCGCAGTTACATCCATACTAACCAGAAATCCTGCAAAAGAACCATTGGCGGAAACCTTGTTAGCGAAACCTAGAGGATTCACGGGTACCGTCGCATGTACATGCGATACTGCAGGGTTGGGCTTGGAAAGCGGCGCGAGAAAGTTGAGTAGCCACGCTTCACCGCCATCCCTGGAGACGATATGGTGGAAGATGTCGTCAAGTAAGCGAGGGTCATCTGTGTCTGAAGGTGGATCAAGACGAGCCATGAACTTGATGAATTGAGTACGGGCATCCGCGTCGGTCTTTTCGTTCATCATGGCCATGATGTCCGGCTAAACCTTCTGGTCTTGTTTTGTAGAGGATGACTGTTGAGGGTTGTTTTTGGTACTGAGAATGGGTCGAAGGAGCGATCATATTCACTTTAAATAATTCTTGCTGCATGCTCACGGCATGCTAAAAAGGACAATTGGGCAGATTGTTGCATCATATTCGACTGGATAATGCCGTCATCTGCTAGCTGGAGATAGTAACGTCACTGCATTTACCTATGAGTAGCAGTAATGCGTCTAGGCAGGCATCATGTTTACGAAGGCTAAGCACAATGATAACGACTGGGCGTCTTGCGCTATACCCGACTGAGTATGTGTCTGAGATTCTCGGGCGACAACTTGGCAACTTGGAGGTTTGAACCACCAGCTCTCAGCCAGCCCTTTAACCCCCTTAGAGTTCAGACTATCCTGGGGCAACAGCTCTGTCTTAGTTTCCAGCTTTCCTCTCAACCGCTGAGAAACCAAAAACGGCGACTCTACTTGAGATCAGAGCCGCCATTGAGTGGGAAAATAAACCGCCACTTTTTCTAAGAGTCTCAACCCAACTGCATCACTACACAGCGTTCAATAAGAAGCCACCAGAAGAAACCATTTTGACAACTTTTTGTGTCAATGAGGACAATCAAGGATACAGGTCTTCTTTTATCAACTCCGGTCTGGTACCGTTGTTGTCCTCGTAAAGTAGAAAGGTCAAGGTCAAACCAACAATTTTCTTTAATTTTCTCGCCCTCTTGAACTGGTAAAGGTTATGAGTGCGAATCTTCGTGGGGGTACTAGGCTGCGCGGGTGATTTCATGTGAAACAGCTAGCTTAGAAACATGATTATCTGATCGGCATATGGATTTGTATGCACACATAGTCGCACATCATGGTCAATGGAGGGACATGGCTGATGGAGAGACACAGCTGAAGAAGAGTCATCGTTGGCCTTCAGCCTGGTAGGGATTGGTAAGCTAGCATATATGAAAGAGAGATGAAACGATGCAGAGCTACGTTTAGTCCTTCTCCGCATGTATAGGTGCCACTTAGAGCCTGGTGATATTCGGATAAATCCACATACGAGCAGGCGCGGGCCCCGTGGGCTATGTACTTAGTGTACCACGAGCTTGAATAGCGTCATCGAGGAGACGTTTGATGTAGCGCTGGGGTTTGCGGGTGCTCAAGCGGTTGTTGAAGCCTCCGTCTCGACGGTACGGCCTGACGGGCGCGTGGTATTCGCCGGTCTCGCGGCACAGAGCGTTTGGATTGCGACCACGTCTCTAGTCACCCAGGATGTCTCGCTCAGGGGCTTAAGGAGCGCGAATATCCAGGAAGTTCGTTAGTTATTGAGCCTTCTGGCCTCAAGATCGCTCACGCCGTACGCAGAGGAAAGTCCCTTTGAGTATGTTCCCACCGGTCTTGAATCGCTGGGCACGGGTGAGGTGAACAGATCTTTCTACACGGTTCCCTGAGAATCGGGAGAATAGAAAACTGGACAGAACCAAAATAATCAAAATGGCCATATTGTCTTGATCTCATACAGCGCTTCATAATCATTACTCATGACACAATAGTACATCACTCATAGCACCGCCCTTATCACAGAGCAAGCTCACCCATCTCCTCCTCCATACTCCTCCTCTTCACGATCCGTTTTCTCCCCACTCTCCTCTCCTCCCTCGCCGCCTCGACAGCCCTCTCCAGGTCTGCCCTCCTGGACTCCCTCTCCCTCCTCTCTTCTTCCTTCATGTCTTCTGCCCTTCGCCTCCTCTCACACAAAACGTGCTCCCTCTCCCGGATCTCATCTTCCGCCTCCCTGTTCTTGTTCGCTGCCCTCCTCCCCTGAATCTCCTTCAAGACCCTCTCCTCCGCCGACGTCGGCTTTCCTTGCGCCCTCAACTCTGCGTCTGTCGCCAGCCTCGCTTTCCGTAGTCGCATCCGCGTCTTCTGCGACTGCGGCACCGCCATGAAGGTCAACCGCGTCTTCTCCCCTGTCGGCAGCTCCACGCGGTACGACGTCTTGGTGTCATCCAGCCCGGCCACCACCTTGCCGGTGTGCAGCTCGATCCAGTTCCGGTCTTCCTCCTCCAAGTCACATCCCAAGAACCGCTCCCGCACCATGGAATCCACATAGACGCAGAAGTTCGTCGTGAAGTTCCGGTAGAGGTCCTTGCACCCTTTACTAAAGTCCATCGCACGGAAATCCACGGCCTGCGCCGCCCGCGCGAAGACAGTATGCCGCTGGATCGCTGTGCTCGCACGGAAGCTCCTGTCCATTTCCCACAAGACGGCGTTGTCCTTGTACTTGCCTACCCACGTCAGCTCGAGCCGCGTCAGCTCCGGCAGCGACTTGCCCAGCGACGCCATGTCCGCGGCGTGCTTCCTCACGACCTCGGGCCGGACGGCCAGCGTCCTCAGACCCTTGCACTGCTTCAGCACGCCCCAGAACTGCAGCCACCGCGGGATGCCGCCCCTCTGTCTGATCCTCGTGCCGGTGAAGAGGTTCTTCGACGTTCGCGGGTCCGTGTCCCAGGGATCCGCCGAGGCGATGTAGACGTGCCTCAACAGCGGGCGGTACGCCTCGCGCAGCCTCGCGCCGACACAGATCGCGAACTCATCCGGGTGGTCGAAAACAAACGTGTTGGTGGACCAGAAGATCGGCGCCGCCTCTCGGTGGACTTGGCGGCATGCGAGAAGGAAGTTCAGCGTCGTGCGCTTTGCGCAGCGGCACTGTAGCGGCCGGTCCCAGGGATACAGCTCTTGAGCTGGAATGAAATTGACGGCGAGATCGAGGACGTGGCAGGCGGCGGGCTCGATGGAGGTGCGGGTGTGGTTGTGGCGGAAGTGGCAATCCTGGTGGTGGTTGCGGGAGTGTTTCGGCGCGGTGACGAGGACATGATGGTAGATGAGGTTGCGCAGCTCGAGGGGTAGCCCGAGGAGACGTTTGCTGGAGGCTGGGTGTTGATGGGCTGGGAGGGGGATCGTGAGGGTAAGGGTCGCCATTGTTTCTGACATCAACTTCACGTCGGCGATGAATGCAGTAGATGTAATAGATGGGTGTGTCGTGGTGGCCAATGCGTAAACCTAGAATTCAAGACAGGCTATGGCAGTGCAACGAGACGGCGGGAAGAGGGTGAGTCTCGCAGGCAAAGTGGGTGAGATAGGTGAGATGGGGCAGTCGAGAATATCAGGCAGCCGGCGCGGCTCATCACGGGTTTTGTCTTTGCTGGATGCAGGCTGCGTTGCAAGCCTCGTTTGAGCGGGTGGAGGAGGCAGCCGCCGAGTGAGTCACTTGGGCGAATCAACACATGGGCCAAACAGACTGGATTGAGGCCTATTTACTGGGCTGTCAGCCTTGGAATGCACGGGCAGGCATTGCACTGCATTGTTGAGCCAATTGGCGAGGGACCGCAAGCAGGAGGGAGAAATATGTACAATTTGGTTGGAGGAAGCGGTGCGGATCGAGGCGTAGTGAGGCGGTGCTACGGACGGCACCGCCGTAGGTGATTTGCTGCGGGCGCCGTATGGAGGGGACGCCTGCAATGTTGCGTCTGATGTCAATCTGCATGGCCATCTCACACGCGTCCAGGCTGCATATTCCTGCAAAAAGATGAGACATTGTTAGGTTGATGAATTAGGTTCGCTACATAACTTCTGTTGATATTTGATGTCGTGACGGTCGTGTTAATCCAATATGGACAAAACCATGTTCGCCTGCGCCCAAATTCCATTCCCGAGATGCCGGGTCTGATTGTCTTCGCGCGCCAATGTCTAGCCCTGCGCAACGGTGTCGCGGATGATCTTGTTGCAATCAACGGGGTTCTCGAACACAAACCAGTCGTCGCGAGGAACGTGCTTGAACGCCTTCTCGAAGCGCTCCGGTTCGTTCTTGGCCGAAATACCGACGGCCGCAATGTCGGTAACCTTGCGGATCAGAATGAGCTTGACCCAGCCCTTGAACTCGCGGTAGCTGGAAGCCGTCAGCAGGAAAAACATAAATCGGCATTTCAAGGCCACTTACATGTCACCATAGGCCTCAGGGTCGGATTGCGTAGAGTCGCCAATGAGAATGAACTTTCTCTTGGGCAGCCAGCCATGCACCTTTCTCATGCGCTCCACTTTGTACTCCTCCGTGGCCATGGTCAGGGCTGACAACAGGCCCGCAACCGTCTTCCAGCTCGAGTCGCGGAGGATGATGGTTCCCGGAGGATAGTACTTGTCGCGAAACTCGCGCAGAAACGGGTACAAGTTGTACGGCGAGGCTGAGAGGTAGAACCACGGCGACTCCTGCGGCAGAAGCGCCTTGATGTTCCTGTACAGCTCCGGCATGCCCTCAATGGGCGTCGGCTCGTTGACAAACGTCTCGCGGAGGATGCCCACGGGGTCGCTCGTCTGCGTCAGCTTGATCGTGTCGTCGACATCTGCGGGATACTGTGTTAGTTGTGAACGAGTCGCAGACCTCAACCCTCCGTACCTGAGATGATCGCCCAGCCCTCTGGTGCAGCGAAGAATGTCTTCATCTCCAACAGGCCCGTCGCGCCCCGCGGCACGGCGGCGCTCGACGTGACCATGGTGCCAGAAGGCTGGTCGCTGACCTTGAGCGTATCGGTGCTGATGCCGTTCGTCCCCGAGGGTCCCAACTTGAGCTCCTTCTTCTGGTGCACAACCCGCAGCAGTCGCGAGGGCTGCACGTCCCAGAGGAACGGCAGTAACCTCTCCTCGATCGTCGCCAGCTCCTCAGCGTCGTCAGCAAGACCAAGCTTCTGGGCGACACCCTGCACGATGTCGATGACGGTGCATTTCGGTTCCTTTTCGAAAACGGCAGCGACGAACTCGGCCTGCCAGCTGCCTATGCGCGAGGGCTTGTACGCCGTGTTGTCGAGGAGCCAGACAATATCGTCGTCGGTCACGGGCCGGCCCCACGGGTTGTAGCTGCCAAGGTGTGAGAGCAGGCCGCTGGCCGTCATGAAGGCCGATTGTAAAGTCGGAACCCTAGGGTTGGGAAGCTGGGCTTCGATCTCGTCGAAGCGACGTTCTTTGCGCGTTCGTTTCTGCATCTCGTCTGCGTATGCGGCGGCGGTCTTGTTGTCGTCTTGCCCGGCCATTATTGCGGTTTGCGAGTAGCCTCGATGTATTTATACGGCTGCTGTGTCTCTCGGTGTGCCTTTTGCCTCTCGACAAAGGCTTGGCGGTCACTTGGATCGATGCGACAGCAACGTGACTTGGGCACGGTATTACTCGTGCCTTGGCGGCGAAGTGGTTGGTAGGCTGACGGCTCAAGGCTGAAAGGCGGATGTCTCTCGAAAGAAGTTGGTCTTTGGTTGACTGGGGCTCGTGGAGGATGGAAGACAGGCAAGAGGGACGATGTATCCGTAGGCTGTACGAGGGGGAAATGTTGGTAGTGTCTCAACTTGAAGAGGACGTGTCGGGGGTTGGAGCTGGAGCTATGCGACAAGTCAACAATAGCAGGCAGGCGAATTCAGAGAGGTACTGGCTGGACGGGGAGCGCCAGGCCCTCCAACTCCTGCTCCAAAACAGAGCGATCGATGCATTATGTCAGAGCTAGCCGGGCTGGCTGCATCGTCTGGGTGGTGGGAGGTGTCCGTGACATGGTTTAGGGCGACGGGCGGCGAGCTGTGACAGGACTACTCCATCAGATGGTCGCTAGCTACTGGTAACCAAGTCGCAGCGAGTCTTGGCTGAATATGCGCCCCCCTTGAGTCCCGTCCCTTGTGACCGCCATGCCGCAAGTGACCAGGCAATGACGATGGGATGGGCGCCGCATCTGTTGCAAGCGAAGGTGTGTCGGAGGCGTAGGAGAGGTGGAGGGATGGGTGGGTGAAGGAGGAACAACAGTACATGCTGGGAGGGCGGGGACGGGAGGCACCACCCGGGACTCACCCGCGCTGCCAAATCCCTGTCGCACCCTCCTAGCCAGTAAATGTGTAGGATCCGAAAACAACCCGATCTTACGCGTTGGCCTTACTTGCATCGCAGTTCGATGGATCATGTCAGGCACCTTCAATCACGTGCACCTGGTTCTGCGACGATGACAAAAGTGCAAGCTGTTGCTTTACTCGGAACATGGGAATAGTGGCACAAGAGGCTTGACTGCCAAAACAACTGTCCCTGGCAAGGCTCGAACTTGCGACCTTTGGATATCCCGGGCTTTCAGCCGAGTCATATGAGTAATGATATGAGACCAACGCTCTACCGACTGAGCCACAGAGACCAACTGCTGTGGCTTAAGTTAACACAAAACTGATCATGTACTGTATGAACAGGTGAGCAACAACGAGTCATCTCGGTTGTTTGATACCTCAGAGATGCCTTCAGCACGCATGCCTCCTTCGGGATGATATTACCAGTCCCAAAGTCCAGAATTCCTACTCTGGCTTGCTAACTATCCGGCGTCCCCAATGGAATGCCGATAGGCTATCGGATATGTCGGTAGCATTAGTGCAACAGCAAGCTGACCTATTACTCAGACTTGGAATGTCCCCGCGAGATACTTCAGTTTACACGATTCCCCGAATCTCATTGAATCAAACCCGACAATTCAACTCTACCTATCATCTTTGTGATCTTCAAAATGTCGTCTTCCACGTTCAAACCCCCTCTCACAGTCACCCACATCACCACAGCCGCAGCTATACTCAACATCAGCGGCATCGACTTCCTCACAGACCCCGTCTTCTCGCCTGCCGGCACAGAATGGAAGAGACGCGTGGGCATACTCAAAAACACTGAAGACCCTGTCGTGCAACTTCAGAATCTCCCTGTCATCGACGCCATTCTCCTTAGCCACGAGGACCATCCTGACAACCTTGACGAACTGCGCCGGCGACTTCTCGACGGCCGAACAGTTTTGACCACAGCCGATGGTGTTCGAAATCTCGCACCTCGGCCTGGTGTTCAGGCCCTGCAGCCGTGGGAGTCAGTTGTGCTCACAATTGGCGGGAGGGAGTTCCAAGTAACCGGAACGCCGTGCCAGCATCTCCCAGGCGGAGAGGTGACGGGCTTCTTCCTCAGTGCTGTGGAGTTTGGTAGTAAAAATGGCTTGCCGAATGCCATCTACATCTCCGGCGACACCATCTACCTAGAAGAGTTGGCGCAGATGCGAGAGAAATTTTACATCTCCGCCGCGATCTTGAATGTTGGGGCAACCAAGATCGCTGTTACGGACCCTCCCCTGCAGATCACCATGGACGGGAAGCAAGCTTCCCGCTTGTTCCACGAGCCCATCCAACGAATGCAGTGAAGACCTGTGAAAATCGCACCTGAGATACGCATGAGCTGCGTAGCGAGACATCTGCATTCAGCAAACGTATGGGACTCTGCAGGGATGCAAGATGCAGGAGCAGCCATTAGGTATATGCAATGGGGTTCCAATTGTGCTACACCGAGTCTTGTGTAAGCTATATCCAATCATGCAGCCGGTTTAATAAACCAGATTGGGCAGTTGACAACGTGCATGTAAAGTTAAGTCATTCTTGCTTGACCCATGTAAAATTGGACGTCTTGTGGTTTTGCCAAGACTACGAGCAGTGATGCCAGAATCGTTGGAACTTGGCGTCACGTTGAAACGCTAGACTACGTGGTGACAACGGGCGCAGCTGACACAAGCTCGGCACGAAAATTAACACAACTCTGATGGGATATTTATCAAGTCGCACTGCTTTTCTAGCTAGTGTACCCCAGTAACGCCGTTTTTTGCTACGAAAAATTGTTATCCAACAGAAATCTGCCAAGATATCTTTGAAAACTGATGAGCGAAAAAAGGTTTAAATAAAAAACGATAAAAGCCAACTGGCAAAAGAAAAACGTGTGACAGTAGATGTTAGTTTCCGAAACCGAGAATCGGTCTCGGGGCTGTGCCTACCTCTCAAAAATGAGAGGGCATCATGTTTGCCACTACACCATATCGGATTGGACATTGGTGTAACAATCGTGTTGCGGAGTCCTACATCTAGTGGAGCGCCACAGATTCGGCGATTGTTAGCCCGCTGTGAGACCATTCTTTTCCATCAGATTATACCCAGTAATCAAACTGTTGGTAACTCAGAAAGAGGTTGCGGATGCTAATAAATTTGTAATCAAGCCACCATTTGCCTCATCGCTTCGTATGTTGTCATCTTGGGTGCACTGTGTGCCTTGGGGTGCCACTTTGTTGCTCAGGTGTAGATGCGTCACCCGCTGTCCTAAGATCGCGTGAGCAGACCGAGCAGAAAACAGATAGGACGATCAACATGAAGTTTGTTACTAGTCTTGACGGCGCGCCTGAGTGCGGGTTGAATTAGTGTATTGAAGGTTGAGGCTGAAAGCAGCTAGGGTGTTGGTTCAAATCCTGAGTTTTGTGGCTAAAAGGCCATTGGCTGTTGTAGCCACGGGCCAAAATAAGAATCGATACGAACCAAAATTCCACGAACACGATACAGGGCCATTGGACCTCAAAATTACCTATATCTGACTCTTTAGTCTCATTCAGCAGACTACCAGCCCAGACTTAGGCTGAGAAACTTACGTAGCACAGGATGAAGAACTGTGATAATGACTACAACAATGAGATGATTGCGAAACGCAAGCAAAGCGCGCTAATGTCCATAACGGCATGGCACAGGTATAGACCAGGTACGACCAGAATGTCAGTGAAGTTGACCCTTATCTCTACAGAAAAACTGATGACAACAGCCTCAATAATAGAATGAACATACAAACATCCACTGTGTATGCCTACTTCCCGAACACACGCTTCGCATTTTCAAGAGTACCCATGTCTCCAGGCTCCAATTTGTCGGCGTCTTCGAAGTCTTCCCTTGTTCTCTTGTGCCTAACTGAGAGAAAGCCCAACCCCAGTCCACCAGCCTCTGAAGTTCGACTTCGGATCTTCCCAACAGCCTTTGGAGGTCTGATGAACTTCGGATCTCTCTGAATGAACATGGGCAGCGTGTCTGGTAGATCCAAGGCGTAACGTGCTTTCGGAACCTTGTCTATGGAGATTTTCAGGCTGTCGCCTTCATATCGGGGAAGCAACACGCTAGGGCTCATTTTCTCCATGCCCTTCAAATCCGGAAGAGTAACCAATTTGACAACTTGATTCTCACCATTGGTCTTTTGGGAGAGAGCCACTACTCCGTTAGACGCCACTATGGATTGGGAAGTAGCGTTTCCCATCTTGTCGACTGAGAAGCCTTTGCGCAAGAGTGTGTTGCATGAGCTGGTGATGGTCAAGGAATTGCTGTGTTGGCTTAGTACCTGGCAGTTCGCAGTTGACGATTCCACCTTTGAAGATGCCATATCGACTTCTAAAAGCTGGGAGGCTTTTTGAGCAGCTTCAAGAAGATCCTCTGGTATCGAGAAGACCGAGTAACTTGAGCTTTCGGCATTTTCCAGCTGCAGAACCAAGAATGAGCCACAGTCGGAGAAATGGAGGCCTGTCGGCAGTTTTTCTGTCGCGTGAAATATGGTGTTCGGGGACACTGGCATTACCAATAATCAGTTTCAAAGACGCAGTTTAGGTTAGGGAAACAGACTAACCTTCAGAAAAAAGCCACAGAAAACAGCCTTTCAGAATGTCCCCATTGTCTTTTGAGGAAATACAATAAACAGCCACTATTGGAAGGGAGGGGTGGAAATAAGTCTTCTCGGGAGGCACAATACAACGCTTTAGGAGCAATGAGCTGACTCTTGTGAGCTCCTGTCCTGTTGGCCCGCGGTGTCTCCAGAAAGTGAACAGTTGGTTGCTGTGCTGTTCTAACTGTTGATGCGTGACCACGTGTCTGGCGTCTGGACTAAACTGTACGGAAATCGTCTTCAGTGATATCCCTTCGGATGCCCAACGATATCTGGAGGTACGTTTCCACAAAAAGTCGGTGTTTTGGTGGATTGGTAGTTTTTGTGTAACCAGAGTTACGGTTGCAGAGTCTTCGTTATGGGCGGTGATACTATGCAGTCTGCATAAGACGGCGAATGTCATGATGCCGGGACTGATAGAAAGTGGGACTTGCAATTCGTTGCCGTATCGACCGTCAAGGTAATGTCGCATTGTGGGAACCATGTCAACTGGGTCGATGGGAATTTCGACCTTGGCAGCACGTTTGATAGAAGAGCCTAGGGTCCATACTTCATAAACAGCAGTCCATCCAGTACAGATATCCGAAATATCTAGGTCATCGTGCCATCTTGCTTTGAGATATAGTGTCTCGAACAATCTGGGCGGGATCATACCGTCAGAGATGGAAAATGATAATGCAGCAGTTGGAGCACATACCTAGGGGGCCAAACGCTCAAAACGCCCTTGAAGTCTTGAGACGTTTTCGAAATCATTGCAACATATTTGCTACCAACCACGGAGAAATTCGGACGCTCCGTCGTCTGAGCTAGTATTTGGGTACTGTTGGGAGAAAAGAAAAACCGACTCTCAGTGGAGGCTGTCATCTCATCCCATACTGTCGGTGGGAAGTCAGTTAAGCGAGTGTTCCAGAGCGCTGTCATTTGATCTAGCTCATCGCTGAAATGTTGAACACTTCTGCTGAAAACACTGTCACTGGAACTTTCAGTGCTCTCACTTGAGGCCCTCCCCATCCATTCCGCCCATTCTCTCAGAGGCTTTGTAGATGGATGATACTGGAAACTCGCTCTTCTATAGCTGTCGGCTGTGTAGAAGCTCTCTAGCCAAGCAGATACCACAGATGGCTTTGAGAGAAATGTTTCTACCGCAGATTTCAATGTTGACAGTGAATCCTGGAGTGGTTTGGGGCAAGCGGAATGGTCGTTGAAAGCATTTTGAACTCTTTCAAGTCCAGTCTGGATGTGTTTGATCCAGAAAACGGCCGCGTAGTCTGTCAGAATGAAATGCTTGTGCAATTCCTCTCCAGACATCTTCTCGCCGAAGTTTCCAGATAGAGGACGGGCCGGTGTGTAGTAAAGGAGCTGATGCAGGCAGCAACGGCTTACATCGAAGCAAGTTGTCGTAAAGTCTGGCAGTCGAAGAGTTTTTCCTGGTCTCTCGACCGGTGTGAATGTGTTCGGTTCATCATCGAGACCTAGCAGCAACTCCTTTACGGACAGGTGTATCAATCGTAGTGAAGTAATCCCTTTGGGGCCATAGAACAACGAGTCGGTGCAAACCCTCTCCACTAGGCCAGCCGAAGCCATGATGATAGCTTCTTCGAATTCCTCAATGCTAGTTTCGGTGATTTCTTCGACAAACCCTTCTAGTCGCAAGGACTGTTGCAATTGCCGTGACGATAGCGGCATCAAAGCATGCGCTAGCCAAGTCAAGGTTCTTGCAGCAAGTCGCTCCGAAACGCGGCCAGATTTGCTTATAATAGACAAAGTTCGTTGATACATTTCGTCTAGCCCTTCAGGATTGTTAATTTCCATGATTGTGGACATTCGCTGCCGCGGTGTAACGACGGGCGAGTGGAGGTACTTGACCATCAGCTTGGCCCAGATAAACATGCCGTCAGCTCCTTGGACCAGTCGATCTATCATCTCCGTCCGTTTCTCTTCCGAGACATCTGGAAGGAGTGAGTCCGCAAAGAGTTCATCTATTTCCTTGGAAAAGAATGTTCGAATATCCTGAGAAACAAGATCCTTTGGAAGCTTGATTTGAAAATGGCGTGGGACTGCGCGCTTGAGAGAGGGGACATTAATGCGACTAAGTGCCAGAATCCTTGGCTGGGAGGGAGCCTGTACTTTCAAAAGCGACTTGACCAAAAGGTCTTCTTCTGAACATTCGTCGATGCCATCTAGGACGACGATGCTCTCCGAGCTGAGGCAAAGAGTAAGTAGATCTAGGAGAACAGATCTGGATGCGACTAGCTGGCCCTGTCCTCTATCCTGCATGACGAAGCAGAATCTATCCAGGATGTCTCTATCGTCTCTGTTCTTCCATAGATACTGTGCTAGAATCGAACGGTATGCCGCCAACTCGTTGCTACTTGCTGGTGTTTGGTAGTCGAAGAAATAGTAGTAAACTTCCCGTGGGCTTTGAGAAGTACCTATACTAAGCTCAAGGGTCTCTACGATAGACGAGGCAAGAAACGTCTTTCCGGCACCTGGGTTTCCTAATTCATCATGTCAGCTAGGTCCTCGTTACTCCTGGGTGATGACTCTTTACCGTGAATCCAAAGCATATTGGACCCAAAACGGCGTTGATTGGTTGGGGCCTCTACTTGACCTTCAAGCCAACTAGTGTACCATTGCTGGTCAAAAATCCAACAGGCAGTGTCGACTTGTCGCAGATCGCAACTTTTC